AAGATTATACCTTGGTAGCATTGTTTGTAATAGTAAAAGATTGGAAAATTCTGTCAAAACTTATCAAGAGAAAAGAAAGAAGGCACACACATACAAACCCCACAAAGCATAAAATAAGGGGAGATATTTTTAGATATTGCAGAGATTAAACAGATAATAAGAACCTTGGTGCTTCTTCAAAAAGTTAAAGAGAATTAGCATATGATCCAGTGATTCCACTCCTAGGTATACACCCCAAATAATTAAAAATTAAAGACTCAAACAGATATCTGGATACCAATATTCAAACAGCATTATTCACAACAGCCGAAAGGTGGAAACAATGAAATGTCCATCAACAGATGAATGGATAAACCAAATGTGATATATACACACAATTGGGATGCTATTCAATCATAAAAAGGAATGTAGTTCTGACACACTCTACACATGGATAAACCTTGAAAACCTTATGCTAAGTGAAATAAGACAGGCAAAGGACAAATATTATATGATTCCACATATATGAGACATCTAGAATAGGCAAACTCATAGAGACAGAAAGTAGAATAGAGGTAACCAGGTGCTGGGGGGAGGGGGAAAAGGGAATTTATTGCTCAATGGGTAGAGTTTTTGTTTGGGATGATGAAATAGTGGTGATAGTTACATAACACTGTGAATGTATGTAATTGCACTGAATTGTACACGTAAAAATCATTAAAATGATAAATTTTGTTATATATATTTTGCCACAATAAAAAATTTTAAAGATATTATGAACAATTTTATGCTGAAAATTTTGAAAACTTAGATGAAATTTATAAATTCCTAGACAAATTACACTTACCAAAATTGACTTAAAAAGAAATAGAAAAGCTGAATAAAGTAAAATAAATCTATATTTAAATTATTGCAGAAAAATCCCACCAGGCTCACAATTAGAGGTGAGTTCTACCAATCTTTCAAGAAATAGATGATTCCAGTCTTACCCAAATGCTCCTAGAGAGTAAAAAGAGGAGATGCTGCTCAATTAATTTCATGAAGCTAGCATAACTTTGATATTAAAACCAAACAAGGACACTACAAGAAAGAAAATTATAGATCAATCTTACTCATGAATATAGATGCAAAAATCCTAAACAAAACATGAGCAAAGCAATTCCATAATGTGTAACAAAGATAAGGTAAAAATGCAATTATACTATTATAACTGCATTGTATAAAATGATATAACTATATTAATATATATTAATTAAATAATTACATTATTATATGTGAAGTAGTATAATAACTCGTTAGCCTATGATAGGTTAAGGATCAATATTGTAATCTCTCGAGCATCCATTAAAAATAATCCATAGATGTATAGCCAGTAAGTCAATGGAGGAGATAGAATGCAATACCAAAAACAAAACAAATAAAAAACACTCGATTAAAACAAAAGAAGACAGGAAAATTCCAGCAGGCTTTTTAGCTGATGCTAAAATTTACATGAAGATGGAAAGGAATAGAAATAGTCAGAAATTGTATTATTTTGTAAAAGAACAATAAAGTTGGAGGATTTACTGTACCTGATCTCAAGACTTGCTTTAGAGCTACACTAATCAAGTCAGTGTGATATTGGCATAAAGATAGACAAATAGATCAATGGAACAGAACAGAGGTTCTAGAAAGAGACCCACAATATATGGTTAATTGATTTTCAGCAAAGGTGTCAGAGTAATTCAATGGGGGATTGAAAAGTCTTTTCAGCAAATGGTACTGAACTGGATGTCTGTATAGAAAAAAGGATCCTGACCCCTCCCTCATGCCATATACAAAAAATTAAGTCAAGTTAGATTATAAACCTAAACAAAGAAGCTAAAACTACAAAACATAGAATGAAACACAGGATAACAGCTTCATGATCTTGGAGTAGACAAATATTTCTTAGATCACATAATGTACCACCATAAAAGAAAAGATAATCAATAAATTGGACTTCATCAAAATTAGGAACTTTTGATCTTCAAAAGATACTGCTTGAAAATTGAAAAGTCAAGCCACAGAGTGAAGAAAATATTAGCAAAACATATATCTGCAAAGGACATGCAAAATATAACTCTTGCAATTCAAGATAAAAAGACAAACAACCGAACGAAAGATAGACAAAAGACTTGAACAGTCCCTTTACTAGAGAAAGATATGAGAGTGTGAAAAGATGCTCAGGATCATTAGCGATTACAGAAATGGAAATTAAAACTACAGGTACAACTTGACCCAACTAGAATGACTCTAATGAAAAATACTGACAATAGCCAAAGTTGACAAGGATGTGGAGCAAATGGAACTCTCAAACATTGCTGTGGGGTGTAAAATGGTACAACCATTTTAGAAAAATGTTAGGTATTTTCTTATAAAACCCAAATTCCGTCCCTAGATATTTACCCAAAAGAAATGCGAGCACATTTCCACAGAAAGCCTTCAAATGTTTATAGCACCTTTATTCATAATACTCCAAAAACTTGAATCAAGGAATGGATAAATGAACTGTCATATGTGTATAATGGAATACTATCAGAAATAAAAAGGAAGAGAATACTGATAAATGCAACAACACGGATGAATATCTGAAACACTATGCTGAGCCAAAGAAGCCAGAGAAAAACCAAGAGTAAGTACCACATGTACAATTTCACTTAGATGAAGGTGTGCACGAGCAGAACAGTCCATAGTGATAGATGTTACAACAATGACTGCCTCCCAGAGGTTGGGGAGATTGACTGAAAGGGGTACATGCTGCTTTCTGGGGTGATGGAACTTCCTACGCATGGTGGTTACAAGGGTGTATGTATTTGTCAAAACTTATCAAACTGTCCACTTAAAATCCATGCATTTTATTGCTTGTAAGTAATACTTCAATAAAAAAATAAAAAGTCACCATGAAGAGAATGAAAAGCCCCAAACTTGGAGAAGATCTTTACGACACACGTCTGACAAAAGATTGTTCCCAGAAAAAAATAATGTACAAATCAATAAGAACAACAAAGCCACATAGAATAATGGATAAAAGATATTGCTAGGCTTTTTACAGATGAGAAAAACAAATGTTTGTAAACCTGTGAAAAGAGGCTCAGCCTTCATTCCTAATCAGGAGAATGCAAATCAAGATCATGAGAGAGAGCATTTTCTATCCACCAGATTGGCAGAAATTAAAAGGCTGGGCAACATCAAGTACTGGTGAGAATGCAGAGGGACAGGACTTCTCATCCCATATGCTGATGACAGCGTAATTTGCTAGAATTGCTTTTGCTTTGAATTTCTCTTCCGCTCCTGGGTATATAATTTAGAGGAAGTCTTGCTCTTGTGACCAGGAGACATGTATGAGAATGTTTATAACAAAATTATTATAGTAGAAAACAAAGATACAACTTAACTGTCCCCATATACCTCATAATTCGTGGGAAAATCATACGGTGGTCTATATACAGAAATTAAAACAAACCTCAGCTACACAGACCAATTTAACATTGAGCAAAAGATGCAAACCGATGAATATAGACGGAAAGATTCCATTATATGAAATGCAAAAATAGTATGGTGTTTATGCTGCATACATAGGTGGTAAAAATTTAAAAGAAAGCGAGGGTGTGACTATCGCAAGAGTCAGGTGGTGGGTATTTCTTGGTAAGGGGACCTGGGAAGAGCGTCCAGGCAACTTCTCAGATGCTGACAATTTTCTATCTTTTAAGCTGAGTTTGTGGGTACTCATTTTACTTTTATTCTTTAAACTCTACATTATATACATTTTATATACTTTTTGTATAATACTTCATAGTTTAAAGACAAGTAGAACGTTATGCTAAGTGAAAGAAACCGATAACCGAGGACCACATATTGTACGATTCCAGGTATATGAAATATCCAGAACGGGAAACTCTAGAGAAAGAGAGTAGATCAGTGTTTGCCTAAGGTTGAGGAGATGGGGGGAGAAATAGAGTGACTGCTAGAGGGTACAGGGTTTCTTTTTGGGCTGATGAAAATGTCTTAAAAGTGACCATGGGGATGGTTGCACACTTCTGTGAATATACTAAAACCACTGAATTGTATCCTTTACAAGGATGAATTGTATGGTGTGTGAATTATATTTCAATAAGTCTGTTCTTAAAAAACCAGGTAGAGAAGAGGGATGCATGGAAAGGCTCTCAATGGGTGACAAGATGGGGAAGCTGGGGAGGATGAAAGTGAGACAGCGTTCTTCTAGAGCAGTGGTTCTCAAACTTTAGCATGCGTCCGAATCACCTGGAGGTGCTTATCTTGTTAGATCACAGACTGTGGGTCCGCATCCCCAGATTTTCTGATCCTGTAGGACGGGGGTGGGACCAGAAGCTGCATTTCTAACAGTTCCCAGGTGATGCTGACGCTGCCAGCCCAGGGACTGCACTTTGAGAGCTGCAGGTAGCTATCCACTAAGTATGTATCAGAGGAATGGATGAATGAATGGATAGAAGGTGGGCAGATGAGGGGCCAGCCTTGCGGCATAGCGGTTAAGTCTGGTGTGTTCCGCTTTGGTGGCCTGGGTTTGTGGGTTTGGATTCCGGGCATGGACTTCACACCACTCAGCCATGCTGTGGCAGCCATCCACATATAAAGTAGAGGAAGATTGGTACAGATCTTAGTTCACGGTGAATCTTCCTCAGCAAAAAAAAAAAAAAAAAAAAAGGGAAGAAGGTGGGCAGATGAGTAGAGTATGGTAGTTGCATGGATGGATTGGCGGTGGTTCAGAGTAGCAGTGAATATAATAGTAGTGTGGAATGCAGTGGAGATGACTTCAAGTCAAGACCTAGTTTCAACTCTCATGGGTTCACCACCTACTAGCTGTGCAGTGTTTGGCAGGTGACTTCAGCCCCCGAAGCTCGTTTTTCTAATGTGGGTTAACAATGCCTGTGAAGGTTCCATGCGCAAATGCCCTTAGAAGGGCCTAGCACAGAGCCTGGCATGCGATGGATGCTTGCTACTCTGTGGTTGGCTCAGACTATTACCATCATATATCACTGGGCTGTACTGTGTGGTTGAGACGAGAGGCTTGTAACTCAGGTCCATCTTGTTTCCATAGTGGCCGATGCTGACCTCGAATTGGATCAGGTCCTTAAAGTTGGGCATCATGGTACAGGAAAGGAAGATGACGCACAGCCCATACTTTTGGCGGTACTGTTGCTTCTAAAACAATAACCCCCCCACATTCCCAGTACATAAGCCATAGGATGAACAAGCCTATAGACACAGGCAGGGAGGCAAGGACGAGGTACCCTGTTTCTTTCAAAAGCCGTCTTTGCTTCTCTTCAGGGTAAGCTAGACTACCACTGACCTCCGAACCCCCTCAAAACCCTCCCTTGACTCCCATTCAGGGCAGATCAAGGGCAGTCCTTCCATCACCTCCATCACCTGGCCGCCTCCACCCAGCCGGCTCTGCTTCCTTCCCTTCCTGACACTGGCCACGAGGGTCTTCTCCCTGGTCAGGCTGGGCTCTGAGTTGGGCTCCCGCACCCACGTTGGGCCACCCCATCCCTCTCCTTTTTGCCTAAATGCCCTCCTTGGATGAGACAGAGTGTGGGCAGGAGTGTGTGGTGGAGGTTGCACACACACGCGCATCTGCTCTTGGCCCTTCTCCAGCCCCCTCCTCCCACCATGTCTCCCATCTGCTCGGGGTCCTCTCTGCATCATGTGAGCCCCTCTCTCATTTCTGTTGCCAACCTCTGCCTACTCCTGCACTCTCCCAGTCTGCTCAGTAGCTCACGTCTACCCTGTCTTAAAAATAACCCTCCTTCTCCCCTCTCAGCCCTTATACAGCTACTGCCTGCTCTTGTCTCCTTCCACTTTCCAGCCAAGTTTCTATGCAGTTGCCTCTATGCACCATCTGCAACCTCTCCCTCCCACCTACTGTGGCCTGGCTTCTCTCCTGAGCCAAAGCTACTGAAGCCCTCCTAATAACCAGGGGACACCGTTGAGTCCTCACCCTTTCTCTCTGCCACATTCAGATCACCAATTGCTCTTGTCTGCAACTCTCCCCTCCGGAGGCTGCCTCAGTGCTCCTCTTTGAAGACTCCTCCTCACTCTCTTCTGCAAACCCCTCCTCCTCCTCCACCTGCCTCTTCGGCTGTGGCATCCTGATAGGCTCCAGCCTCAGCTCTCCTCTCATTTCACTCCGCCTACTCCCCTTGGGCAACTCCTCCGCAACCAGGGGCTCAGATCCTGGTGTGCTGATGACACACCCATCTGTCCAGCAGCCTTGGGGACTGGTCTATGTGGGTGTCTCACAAGCACATGTCAAAGGTGGGATTCATCCCCTCTGCCAGCCCTGCTCCTCCTTCAGGGAGCCCATGGTGAGGCGCCACCCCTGACCACCTTGCCACTGGAAGCAGCGGGCGTCAGCTCAGGGGAGCCAGCCTCACTTCTCAGGTCCCGTTAACCGCTGGCTCTGGCCATTCTGTTTCCAAAGAGTCTCTGGAACTTGCTCCCTCCTCTCCAGCTCTCCTCCCCCGTGACTGTACGCCCATTTCTCTACAGTGAGTGGCCCAACTTACTCCACTCTAGTCTATTCTTAACGCTGCTCCTCCTGTCCTCTCCTGCCCCACGGGCCCTCCCCTGCCTTCAGGAAGAAATCCAAACTCCTTTGAACATCATTTCTCCTTAACTAGATTACACATTCCTTAAACCAAAACTTTATCTTGTCTTTACTGGGTCCCATGACCTCCTGGGATTTGGCATAGCATGAAGCCCCCCAGGGACTTAGTGAAGACTCAGGCGGGTTGACCAAACATCCTCGTGCACCCAGCAGTGCACTCAGCTGGTGGCCAGGGCCTCCTGCAGTGTCAGAAGATCCGGGGCAGGCCGCGGGCCTCTTTCTTCCTGGGTTACCTGTTTCCATGGTTACCTCCACACTGGTCACTTCATTGGAGAGATCCTTCATCCTAGAGTCTTGACGGGACTTGATTTGGGTGACTACCTCCAGGAAGACTCGGCCTCGATAAGCTAAACCATCTTTAACAGAGTGGGGAATAATCTAGTAACAGGGAGGAAAATGGGGAGAAAAGAGATGAGAGAAAAAGAGCAGGCCAATCTCCCTGGAAACCCGTGCACCAAAGACGGGGCTGTCTGCAACTTCCTCCCCAGGGCCGCCCACAATCACAGTGGGGAATTCCAGAAACCCCAGACGCGGCAGTGCCAGGAAACCCCTGGTTCCTGACCCCTCTTCTCCACCCTTAGGCCCACCGCTCCTCTGTTGCAGTCCACCTGCTGGCCCACTCGAAATGCCGCGTTCCCCACAAAAGGCATCCTGCTTGGAGGGGACCGTGGTAACTGCTGAGTTGGCTCTCCCCGCCTGGCCAATCAGGGCATACCCCGCCTCCTTGGCGACAGTGATTGGTCCAAGGGGATCACACATTGACCTAAGGAGGCCAATTAGAAGGCCTCCCTGGCCTCCCTATTAAAGGCTTCCACCGCCGCGTTCCCAGCAGGGAGGCCTGCCGGCAGTAGGAAAGAATGAGGCCCCGGCTAAAATGATGCGAGATGCAGTGAGAGGGAGAGCCACCTAATGGCCGGACGTCCCGCTTCCTGCAGCTCTGCCTCGCTCGGAGTCCTTCCTAGCTCCATTCCCCGAGTTGAAGCCTACTGGAGTTGGCTTTCTGTCATTTATCACCAGTCTGAAATAATCCAATGCTTTTCCGCATTTACTGGTGCCCTTTCTTTTGTCTCGTGTCCTTTCCACCTGTTGAAAACCTTACCCGAGGCCTCGTGGCAATGCCCCCTCCTCCGTGAACACCCAGAGCGCTCCATCTGTGCCTTTCTTGTGCCACAGCACAAGTGCCGTGTCTATGTGGCCATTTACTGCAGACCAGGCGACCTCTACTAGAGTGTGGCGGCCAGAAACCAGGACCGGGCCCTGCTCAGGCATTTCCCAGGCCCCAGTGCCCTGCATGTGGTCAGTTTTACCTCCACTGTTCCCCAGAGCGGACATGAGAAGCTTACAGTGCCTTCCTCCTGGATCCTGAAAGGGGCCTTTTTACCCCCATAGAGAGTCAGGAAGCTGGGGCCAAAGCAGGGTAGGAATCCCGAGTACATTCCTGCAAGAAGAGAGGGTGAGAGCGGCCAGGATGCCGGTGGGCGAGGCGGCAGGCTGGGGCCGGGGCTCGCTTGCCTTCGGTTTCTGCTCCGGTGGATGAGATCTGGTTGAGGGACAGGCTGACAGTCCCTATCTCATCCCGGCAGTTGTTCCTGGGGCTGGAGAGAAACCCGCTGCTAGCTGAGCCCCTGCCGCCTCTGATTTTCTCCTCCCCGCTTGTTTTTCAGCCTCCGCCCGGTTGCTCACCAGTCCAAGACTCTGAACCTGATGTAGCTGGAGAGGCAGGGCAGCTGCAAGGGGAAGGCGAGAGGAGCAGTGGGTGCCCGCTCAGATGGTCTGGTCCTCGCGGAGACTGAGAGTGGTTGGGAAGTCCTGGGTCTGGGCCCGAGGCCTGGCTCAGTTACCAATGAACCGTGTAACTGCAGCCCAGATGGATTTGCCATGGGAGGTTATGGACCTTTGGCTTTGGGGCCCTTTGTGAGGCCCTGGGAGAGACCTAGGACCGTGTCCCATGATGGTTTTGTATTCTTGTTCTTACAGCAGCCCCCTAATTGCATGAGCCTCAGAACCCGCAAGACCGGGTCCGCCTGACTGTGGGCTCGATGACGGCCGTCCACACACGGCCCTTCACGGTCCGAGTGCATGTTTACCAAACCATCTCCTGGGGAGGCTGTGGGCCTGGAATGTCTCCATCAGGGTTAGCAGTTGACTTTTAAACAGCAGGACATCTATCTCTTCAAAGAATAAATAATAATAGCTGCCACTCTGGGGAGGGTTTCCATTGTCCCCTGGCCTGTGCTCAATGATCCATGTGGATCACTGAGTGACTCCTCCCAACAACCCCACAAGCCAGGTGCTGTTATTCCCATTTTCAGACAGGAAAACTGAGGCACAGAGAGGTGGAGTTCCTGAAGTTCTCGTGTTACACGCAGGGGCTGAAGCAGCTTCAGAGCTCCTAACCACTAGTCCGCCATAACCCAGCGAGGGCTGTGATTGTTCCTATTTACAGATGGGCAATGAGGCCCAGAGAGGCAGAGGGACTTACTCACAGTCACACAGTAAGGGGTGGAGTCAGGATTGGAACCCAAGCTTCTGAGTCTTATCTCTACTCTGCCACAGGCTTCCCTCAATTATGAACACAAAAAAATCCGTGTGGAAATCAGAGCTGCTGGGGTTGAGGCCTGGGTGGGGCCCAAATCCTCTCTGCTGAGGCCTCACCCCCTCACGGTGCCTGGGGCACAGCCGGGAGCCCTCCCAGGTCTCCCCTCTCCTGGTCCATTCTCCCCTTGCTGCAGAGGCTGGGGACCAAGGGGCAGTAGGGAAAGAGCTTTCCAGCTGAGCAGCCGGGTGTAAGAAATGAGGAAATGGCCAGGGTCAGGAAGGACACTGGGAGTGGAGAGACGGGTGCCATCAGGCGTCCAGGTCTTCCAAGGTTCTGAATCCTCCAAATTCTGATTCATGGCTGAGCCATCTTTTCATCCACCCTGTTGAGATTCTCCTCCCCTGTCCCAGTTCCCTGTCTTGATTTCCCTCCTGTCCTGGGGTCCTTGGACTGTAAACTGGCACACCCCCGTTTTCACCAGTGCCTCCCCTCTGCATCCTGCCTTGCTGGGTCCTGACCAGCTGGCCTCAGATGCTACCATCTGTGTGGTCATCCTGCCACTTCAGAGTGAGTTCCCATCTGCCGATTGCATCTCCAGAGGGTTAGCGACAGTCAGGCCTCCATCCAAATGGCCCCACCCCTAGAAACTGTGTTCTGTGGGAAATGGGGGAGGGTCCAGGGTCTGGACATCTTCAAATGTTGGGAGGCCGCTTTCACGACAGAGGAGGGCCTGGCCTATGCCACTGGCTTCTGAGCCCAAAGGCAGCTGAACATGAGGGAGGACTCCTAAGGCTCTGAGCATCCACAGAGCAACTGAGAATCCTGGCCACGGGTCTCATCACAGCCAGGCAGAGGGGGAAGGGAACAAGGATGGGGGATGGACGAGGCCCTCTCTAAAATCTCTCCCTACTCTAAGGGTCTATAAAATCACCCAAGAAGGTGGGGATTATGAGGAATGGTTAAAAATTATGACTCACCAGGAGGCACATTGGGGAAGCTTCTAGAAGCAAGGTGGAGGGTAGAGGGGAGCTCGTTAGCTAATTGCCCATCACATAAATACAAGATACGAGAAAAGCGAAACTCTCTCTGGGTCACCAAATAGATGCCACACAAAGTTCTGTGCACTCCCCCTCACGAGAGCACTCCGGTTCCCTCTCAGAATTGCCTGCTCTTCTTTTACACGCAGCTCGGAAGCCTGGCATGGAGGCAGAGGCACTCAAGGCTCTCCCAGGGCTTCGAGAGAACGGGCATGCGCACCGCTGACGGGTGACTGAGGAGGACTGAAAGGCTATGAAAATCAGACCTCAGAACTCCACAAAGAAGAGCATCTCGGGGCCACTTAGTACAGGAACAAATAGCCCTGTACTACATGTAGCCCGCAGAATAACTATGTTCCCATGACGCCTCTACACCACCAACAAACAGCTATAATTATATTCAGGCTACTTTGCCTAGAAGATAAGAAAATGCACAATACAATTTAGAATGAGTCTTTAAAGTGATTTTTTTTTTTTTTGAGGAAGAGTAGCCCTGAGCTAACATCTGCTGCCATTCCTACTCTTTTTGCTGAAGAAGACTGGCCCTGAGCTAACATCCATGCCCATCTTCCTCTACTTTATATGTGGGACGCCTGCCACAGCATGGCTTGCCAAGTGGTGCCATATCCTCAACGGGGATCTGAACCTGCGGACCCTGGGCCGCTGAAGCGGAACTTGTGAACTTAATGGCTGTGCCACCAGGCCAGCCCCTTGTTTTGTTTTATAATATAGGTGAAAGGGCACATTTAAGTTCTCTGGGAAGTTCAGCTGTATGGCCCACTCATTTCTTAGTACTAGATAAATAGCGTAAAGTTTTCTGTAATATGTTCTGGGCTTCCTCATGCTCCCTATCAGGCAGAGCCCCAACTTCCCCTCACATGCTCCTTGGCCCCTACTTTCCATCCACACCCCAACTCAACCACCCAGTTGTCCCTTCCGTTTGTGGGGCAGGAGGAAGAAGGTGGGCATGAGGGAACAGCGGTACCTGAATCTGGAAGGTCAAGATCTGGTTCCATATCGGGTTCTCGGTATGGTTCTTCACGTTTGTCTTGAGCTGGGAACATCCCAAAGCAGTGTCAGTGCCAGCCTGTCCCCTCCTCCCTCCGCTGGCCTCACCTTCCAGCCCGTCCCATCCAGCCCACAGGTGGACGCTGCCTGCAGCACAGGGCTGATCGTGGGAGGCCCCGGTCTGCAGACACGCTGATAACTTCTCATCTGCGGCAACTTCAGGTCTTCGTGTGCCTGCCCAGATCTAGATTCCTTAATACTTTTCCATCAACTTTCAATGGACTTAATTTAAAAATAAATATAGTGTTACTAGCTTTATTATATGAGGGCATACACATAGATTTTGTTAGATAAACACTAAGATCCCAACAGAAAAGTGGGCAAAAACAATGCCGATGGCAGCAGCATACAACGGCATGCCCTTTTTCAGAGCATCACTTAGTTTTAAAACTAGCCTTCTTCTAAGCAATCATGTCAGTGAAATCCAGGGTTAGTTGGATTAGTTAAATGTTTTAATACACACTAAGAAAAACACAGAAATATTAAATTTTTTGAAAAATGTGCACCACCTACCGCCCAAGAGCATCTCACCTAGATCAGGAGGACCCAAACCACTCGTTGGGAAAGAAATACTCAGGGTGGTGCTTTAAAATTATGTCCACAAATCCTTTATACTCCTCCCTTCAAAAGGTGGACACTAATCTCCCTCCCCTTGTATGAGCTGAATTTAATGACTTCTTCTAATAGGTAGAATATGGTGGGAATGATGGTTCATGCGTCCTGAGACAAACCTGTTTGACTTTAACCCAATATTCCCCAAGTTTGAACACAGGATCCTTTTTCTGCACATTGGCATTTTGGAAAGTGCTATTCTGTTTGCTCTCATCACCACGGCCTGGGTTCGTTTCCCGGTCAGGGAACCACACCACTCATCTGTGGGTTGTCATCCTGTGGTGGCCGCATGTTGCTGTGATGCTGAAAGCTGTGCCACCAGTATTTCAAATACAAGGAGGGTCACCCATGGTGGACAGGTTTCAGTAGACCTTCCAGACTAAGACAGACTAAAAAGAAGAACCTAGCCACATACTTCCAAAAAATTGGCCATGAAAACCCTGTGAATAGCAGCAGACCACGGTCTGATATGGCACCAGAAGTGAGAGGATGGTGGCAAAAGACAGAGCAGGTTCTGCTCTGCTGTCCACAGGGTCCCTAGGACTCAGAATTGACTTGCTGGCACTAACGACAAATTCATAGAGGTTCAAGGAATGTCAGCAACTCTCTTGCCCAGAACCTTCAATTTATAGATGATGAAAATGAGGCCCAAAGGGGACGGTGACAGTTTCAAGGTTGTGCATTCGCGGGCATGCTGATGCCTGTTGTTTCATTCCTTCATTCACTCATCTGTACATTTGCATATTTGGTTTTCAGTGGCATGTCTCCACGCAAGGCAGTGGGCACAGCTCTGGGATACAGGGTGGCTCAGCCATGGCCTCCACCCTCACGGAGCTCCTGGTCCAATGGGGTCACATCCCATTAATGAGAGAACTGGGATACGATTCCTGGGGTCTGCCCACCAACCCACTCTTTTCACCACACCGTTTTTTTCCAAGTGACAATTTCTCTAAGCCTCAGACCTTTTCTACTCTTACCTTTTCCCCAATTAGTTCCACCTCCAACGCAGGACTCACTGAGTAGTGTTTCTCTGTGAACAAGAAGTTAAAAGATTTCTGAGACAGCATCATTTTTTTTTTAGGAGAAGGAAATGGAGGTGACAGAACAACTTAAAACTCTCCCCTATAATTTGGTTTGGTGCCCCCTGGGCAACCTCTCCCATTTCCACTCTATTTCTAGGTGCCGTTATGAGTTATGGCACATAATGGCAGCAGGGGTGGGGGCTGGTGTAGGGAGCCTTGAGTCTTTATCTGGGCATCAAAGACAGGTCAGGGGCATATGACCCACTTTAAAGGGCGTCTACAGGGCCTTCATAAAACAATTCTTGTTGGATTTCAGTTTTACTCTCTTCTCCCACCCCAAATTAGGTTAGTGTCAAAGAGGAGCAGGGAAGTCCCATGAGACTCCAGGGTGCCGCTACGTAGGGCACCTCAGAGTCGCCCCTCCCTGCCACCCTGGTTCTAACTGAGCTGAAGGTCCTCTGCGCAGTAGATGAAGAACTGTAAGTGGGCCACTTTGACGGGGGCCACCGTTGACCTGAAGATCCGAGGGGTGGCGCCCTGAACCCCGTAGGGAAGCCGTTGATCTACCTAGAGAGACCAGAGAGCTGGCAGGGTCAGCGTCATAGGGAGGTCACAACCGGGGCCACCAGATTTGGCTTCCCCGACCTTCCACTTGGTACAGGGAGGGTGGACAACCCTGAAGTGACACAGTAGACAAATGAAAGCACGTGAAGGTCAATGACCACTTTGAGAGCCACAGAAGCAGCCAGGGTAGGAAATATTTCTGGGGTGTGTGTAGGGGGGGCAGCCTCACCAGGGCCTGGTCTCCCACACCAAGGGCACAGATGGTGACTTTCAGGTAGCCTCTCACACCATTGTTGGGTTCATTTGGCTGGCAGAGGCCTAGCCACGTCCTCAGGAGTGTGTGACCTGGAGAGGCAGAGGGCCCATGGGAGACCAGCCTCCAGTCTCCATTCTTCTTCCCTGAAACCAGTCTTTGTTTCTCTGGGAGAGGGATGTGGAGACAAATCTCATATGTTCTGGTTCCTATCCAGTAGCAGAAAATGGGAGTCAGTCATTCCTACCATTAAGCAAAAATAGTGCACTCACAAGGCTGTGATTGCCTTCAGGAAATAGGGACCCCTCTTTCCCAACCTGGGAACTTACAGTTGTTACTGTCTTTGTCTGAAAAAGGCAAGCATTTTCCCCAAACCTAAGCCCCAACCCCAACCTGGTGTGTATGTTACGGCCAGGTCACAGTGGAAACCACTGCTCAAACTTCAATCCCCCAACACTGGCCTCAAGAAATGGAAATTCAACCCAAGGGTGCAATAAAAGGTTAGCATTTGACCCAAAGGGATGCCTTGAGTTTTGCAGAGAAAGATGTTACTATAAAACAAGATAAATTACAGTAAAATATTATCAAGTACAGAAAATAATTCATATGCTCTAATACTCTCCCCCCATATGTTGAATATACAGGGATTTTGAGATGTTTTGACATTTGGCCTGATTTTTCTCAGAAGACACACATATTTGCAACAACTGTTACCTACCTGGAGAATGGTAGATAAACCCAATATCTGTCTGAAAAGACAAGAGTGGAGTAAAGATTAGTTAGGTCCTCCAGCCAAGCTCCAGAATGCCAGCTAGCCTGAGGACAGTCCTAGCCACGGGGCGCAAGCACTTGCCCTGCCCTCACTCCCCGGGGCGCAAGCACTTGCCCAGCCCTCACTCCTTTAATCTTTACAACAGCCTGGAAGTTGGTTCATTATCACCTCCACTCTACAGAAGAGGATACTGAGTTTGAGAGAAGTTCCCAAAGTCTTACAAGTAGTGAGGAGGCCTGATTGAAAGGATCCTTAACCACCACGCAGCCCTGCCTGGCCAACAGAGCATTGACTCTTCCCTATCTCTGGAGGGAAGTGTGTCTCCTGTCCTGGGGAAAAGGATGGTCAAGGGAGGAGTTGGCAGAGGCTATGGGTTTTCCCTTTCCCCTGGGAGACAGCTTCTGACTGAGGCCTGAGGGATGTGGCACAGGATTGAAGGTGGTGTGGGGCCAGGCGCCACAGAACATTCAGGCCACCCTTGTAACCCACATCTGAAGGTGCCATAGAGCAGTGCCCAAATCCTGCATGTAGGCCTGCTTTAAAACTCAGTTACCGTCTTAGGTTAGGTAGGCAAAGACTCCTTAGATACAGTAACAGAAGCACGATTCATAAGAGGAAAATTTGATAGATTGGACTTCATCAAAATGTAAAACTTCTTCCCTTTGAAAGACATTGTTAAGAAAATGAAAGAACAAGTCATATACTGGGAGAAAATATTTCGAAATCATGTATCTGATAAAGGACTTGTATCCAGAATATATAAGATATAAGAAATATATAAGAAAATCTCAAAACTCAATAGTGAGAAAACAAGCAACACAATGAAAATAAGCAAAAGATTTGAACAGACATTTAGCCAAAGGAGATATATAGATGACAAAGAAGCACATGAAAAGATGGTCAACATCGTTAGCCACCAGGGAAGTATAAATTAAAATCACAGTGAGATACCACTACACATAATTAGAATGGCTAAAATAGAAAAGATGGACTATATCAAGCGTTGATGAGAATGTGGAGCAACTGGAACTCTGATACACCAGTCAGGGGAATATAAAATGGTAAAACCTATTTGAATTTTGGGGAAAGACTGTTAGGAATTTTCTTCAAAAGTTAAACATAGACCTACCATATGAGATAGTCATTCCACTTCTACATATCTACTCAAGAGAAATTAAAGCATAGGTCCACACTAAGATGCATACATCAATGTTACAGAAGCTTTATTGTAATAGCCCCAAACTGGAAACAATCTAAATGTCCATCAACAGATGAATGGACAAAGAAACTGTGGTATATCCATGCAATGGACTACTACTCAGCAATAAAAAAGAATAAACTATTGATACATGCAACAACATGGATGCGCCTCAAAATAATTATACTGAGTGAAAGAAGCAAAAAAAAGAAGTACATGCTGTATGATTCCATTTATATGAAATTCTAGAAAATGCAAACCAATCTACAGTTACAGGAAGCAGACCAGTAGTTACCTGGGGATTAGAGGGGGCAGGATGAGCGTGAGAGGAAAGAATTACAAAGAAGCACAAGGAAACTTCTGGGGGTGATAGATGGGATAGACATATTCATTATCTTGATTGTAATGATGGTTTCATGGGCGTATATTTATTTTTAAATGTATTAAATTATCCATCTTAAATACATGCAATTCGTTGTATGTCAATTGTACGTCAAGTTGTACAAAACAAAATAAAGCTCAGTCACCCCTAATGAAGCAATAGATGTAGGCAGTGACCATCGCTAGCTGTTAACATAAAGAGAGAGATCAGTGGACATTCTGCGCCTCCTGCTGAAGTCATCTTGCAAAATAACTGACCCAAGTGTGATCAAGCCTCCAGATGGACATACCTGGACAGAGGGACATGTGAAATGATCCCCTGGAGGTGCAATCAGCAAAATCTAGACTGGGGAAACTCTACAGGACAAACTGTCTAGTTTCTTTAACAAATAAATTTCAAGGAAAAAAAGGAAGTGGGCCCAACAGAATAAAAGAGACCTAAAAATACGTATTAACCACCTGCAATGTACGCACGTGGTTTGGATCCTGATTTGAACAAACTGTAAAAGGAATTCACAAGATAATCAAGGGAATTTGAACACTGACTAGCCATTTAATGCTATCCAAGAATGATAAAGATTTCTAAACGTGACAATTGTATTTGGTTATGCTTAATAAAATCTTTATGTTTTAGAAATACATACTGAAATATTTAAAAATAAAACGATAGGATAGTCTGAGATTTGATTCAAAATAATCCAGTAGGGGAGGGGAGGTGGGCCGGGTGTAGATAAAAGGTGATTGGCAATGAATCGGTGAAGTTGAGCGATAAGGATGTGGGAATTCATGGCACTGTTCTCTCTACTTTTGTGTATGTTTGAGATTTTCCAAAAGAGTAATACTAAGAAAAAAAAAAGGTCAGATTTCCTTTGACCTCTATAACTTACTCAACAGATCATATCGTTAGTCATTGTTGGGAAATTGCACAGTGACCTTTGTCAAAAGCACGTTTTTGACCTCCTGCCATCTAACCCCTCGGGAGGCTCTTAATTGCTCACCCTGTGCTGCTCCTTTGAGGGTGGGATGGGGGAGGGGCAGGTCTTGGCTGGTCCTGTGCTCATTCCAAGTGGTGAGAAAGAACACATTTTGATTTGTCTCAAAGTTGCCTTTCCCAAGGGTGGGGCCCCTTTTCAGGGGCTGCCACGTTAAGCAAATAAAAATACAAATGCCAGCTTAAATTTGAATTACAGGTAAACAACGACTACTTTTTTCGTGTCCATATGTCCCCTGCAATACTTCATGAGGAGCCATGCGAGATGTGGGACAGACTTAGATTTAGAAAGTATTTGTTGTCTGAGATTCAAACTTAACGGAGCCTCTTGTGTTTAATCTGACAAACTTATTTTCCTGATCTTTCTGGATTTGGAGAATCTTAGTTTAGCCCTGCATGACTGTGTAAACCTTCCTCAGCTCTCAGTCTATGTCTTTCCAAAGCAAATCTTTTTCCTCTCTCCTCACAGGGAGCAAGCTTTCTCTGGGTCTCTAACAATTAGGCTGGCCTTTTTGGATCTTCTGCTTCCATCCTGGAAGAAGTTTGGACTGTGTCCATCGTATCACAAGTGTGGGGAATTTACCATGGCCCCATGCTTTCATAAATGTTGCATATTTTAATCCTCACAAGGACCCTGTGGGTTGAGTATATTATTATCCCCATTTTGCAGATGAGGAAATAGAGGCTCAGAATAACTTGTCTAAATCTCCCAATTGGTTGGTGGATCCAAATCAGGATCTTTCTGCTGAAAAACCCACGTCATTTCCCCTAGACTGGGGCATAGACCCTGGAGGGGGTCTCTAACAATTTCACCAAACCTCCTCCTCCATCCAGTGCTCACCTGGAATCTCCCGATCTCTGAATTGAATCTCATCACTGAGGAATTCATCACCTGCAGGGCAATTCCCAGAAAGATCTCAGTTATTCACAACCCCGCTTTCCCCCACCCCATGGGAGGGATTGTAAGGGCACATTCAGGATTCTCCCCGATTATCAACACTTCCTAATGGCTGACCCTTCCACATAGCTTTTCCCGTGTAATTCTCAGAGAAACCCTGTGAGGTTCAGATTTCTAGTTCCATTTTGCTGATGAGGAAATTGATCAGAGAGGATGATTCACTTGGTCAACACAAAGCAAAGCATTGCACTCAGCTGTCTTCAGGGCACGTTGTCCTGGTTGTTTCCGGTGTGCTTGCGTTCCCAAGAACATGTGACCTCCTCAAGGGAGGGGCCTCTTGTTCTCCTTACCCTGTGCTGGGCACATAGGAGGCACTTGATAAACAATGTTCACCTCTATAACAGGGCTCCCTCTGGTTGAGGCGTGGAACGTCCCAGGTTGAGGGGACATTTGAGGAGTCCTTTGGTGGCGTGAGAATCCTGGCACTTGGGAAGAGGCTGCTTTGTTCATCTCAGCACCTAGGGCAGGGCCCTCCATAACGTTTGTCGCATGAATGAATGGGGAGTCTGGGCTGCTTGGGAGTGAAGAAGGTGGTGGAGGTGCTGCCTTGGGGTCAGAAAGACCATCTGAGGTGACTCTGGCTCTAAGAGTGGGGCTGGGGGGCTGAAATGCTTCCCAGAATTGAGGTGGGACAAGGAAGTGGACGCATCTTGTTTGGCTCCTCACCTGGATTAAGATGATCTCATCAAAGAACTTTGCAGGAACCTCATAAAAATTCTGGAAGAAGATCTGAAGCAGAGAGAATGGGGGAAGGGGTGGACGATGTTTCTTCCACTGCTTCACCCAGGGACTCAGTGAGCCTGAAGCCTCAGAATAACATGCTACTTCCTGTTTATTTGCCATTTCAATAACTTTCAGCTTACTACCGTCCTCACCTTCTTTCTCAGGAAGCAGAAAATCCTCCAGGCTCCTGGAGGGTTTTCCGCCCAATTAAAGGGCAGGGGCAGGAGATCCCTGGAGAACCTGTCATGAGCAGTAGCTGCCCTGTGGAGATTCAAGCCTCTGCCTCCTTCTAGATTGCCCTGTCAGTCCTTTCCACCCCCACTCCCTGCTGCAGCCAGAACTTCCTTTCCCAAATACAAACCTGGCCCTGTCACTCTCCTACTTAAGTCCCTCCTTGGCTCCCAATTGCCATCCACAACAGGGCCTGAGCCCATTTTGCAGGCTCCCCTCCAGCCGCTCCCCTCCAGCCACACCCAGATCTACAGGGCTGCCAACAAATCCTGCTGCTTCATGCTTCCAAGCCTCTGAAAACCCTATTCCTTTCTCCTGAATTATCTTTCCCCACCCTGTCCCTCTTTCCCTGGTAGACATTTCCTTCAAGGTTTTGGGAGCCTTTCCTGAGTCCTTGTCACCCACTCCTCCCTGCTCCCACTCTGCTTTTCTCTTTTATTTGTTTGTCTATTTGCCAATTAATTCAACGAGTATTGATGGAGTTCCTACTGTGTATCAGACACAATGCTACAATTTGGGATTCCAGCAGTGACAAGACGTACACGGTCTGGGCCTGCATTTCATGGCTGCATTAAAGGCACTCTCAGATCTCTGTCAACCCCAGTCTTTGTTCCCACTGTCATTGTTTCCCTGTTCAGAAGCCAAGCCCCCCACAGACCACAGGCTCCTTAAATGCAGGACTGCGAGTTCTTCCTTCTGTATCTCCAGTGCCAAGCACAGTGCATGGCCCTTGGTAGGTGCTCAGTAAATGTTTGTGGAAGAAACAAACGAAAACACCTGAGTCAAGAAGAAAGCTTGCCAGCTGCCTGCAAGAAATGCCCAGCCCCTGACTGGCCCAGTGGGCCCAAGAGTCCCATTCAGCCCTGAAGGGCACATGCGGCCCACCTCATCGAAGAAAGGGTTGTTCCCCATCTTGATCCGCGTGCGCTGTTGATGGCCTCCAATGACCAACTTCACCATCGGATTGAGGTTGTTACCCATAAGCTGTCGGGCTTCAAATATCTTCACTCGGACCTACAGAAGAGAAAAGGGGGGACCTTGATGTTGGGGGCCCAGAGGACCCTCTCCCAGGGACTCTTCTCTAAAGGAACAAAATGTTGTGATAAGAAACATCTACTGCGGAAGCCGGCCTCGTGGTGTAGTGGTTAAGATCGGCGTGCTCCGCTTTGGCAGTCTGGGTTCACAGGTTTGGATCCCGGGTGCGGACCTACACCACTTGTCAGCCATGCTGTGGCAGCGACCCACATATAAAGTGGAGGAAGATTGACACAGATGTTAGCTCAGGGCTAATCTTCCTCAAGCAAAAAAAACCCCGGAAAATGAGCGACAGATATTAACTCGGGGCTAATCTTCCTCAGCAAATTAAAAAAAAAAAGAAACATCTACTGTGGATAGAAGAGAAGCCACAGGGAGAAGGCTAGGAGCTGGCCTCAGGCAAGGACAAGCCCTGGGGATGCCTTGGCTCCTTCTGTCCCCTCTTATGGGAACTGCTACCCCCACTTCTTTGCCCTTTTTATCTTGTGTGCACTTAGTGTTTCTCTTCTCTGTTGGTATGGGCTTATTACAGAATAGAGAAAGAAAATCTAATGTTTCTCAATATGTAGTTCGTTTTTCACTTTTGTCCCTGATCTTTTAAAGGAATTGAAAATTTTAAAGTTCCCTGCAGTTAAATCTATGATCTGTGATTTGATCTCTGATTTGTGATTTCTTCTGCTGCTTTTATGTACTATTGTGAGAGCCAGTAAAGGGACTATGACATCTGAGCCTAGAATTCGAAGGCCAGAGGGAGAAGAGCAACGTGGAGTCCATGTAAGATACAGGCTGGCTAAGGCCCGAGGGAGAAGGCACTGGAGATGACAGTGGCTAGCAGGGCACAGTCATGGGAGCTTGTCTTCTTACTACGGGTAGTAAACAGCATACAGCTCTCCCAATCCAGGCCATGGGTCCAGCCATTCTCCATGAGGTCTCCTGCGCCTCCATCAAGTCCAGAGACCCTTCAGGAACTGACACATATGCAGCTACCTGACCATCAGAGACAAGAGCGGTTCAAAGCAGGCAAACAGCCCTCATGCCACAATTTTGCCCTAACCTCTAATACATAGGAAGGGTGGTGATTTGGGCACACTGACCCAGCAGGGAGGGGGAAGGTACTGCAAAGGAGGCAACGGCAAGTGCAAAGACCTGGCTGCTAGAGAGAGAGGCTTGAGAATGGGACTGCAAGTTGTCCAGGATGATAGTGCCAGGTGGGGAGGGGCAGGAGCAGGGGAAAGATGGCTTGGAGGGGCAGGCTTGGGTTATCAAGGGCCTGAGAAGCCATTATAAGGAGTTTGGGTTTTATCCTGAGGATATTGGGGTGTTCTCATTTTTAAGGACATTTTAAAGCAAGTGCATGGCGTGGCGAGAATGACATCTTTGAAAGACCACATGACTGAAGAATGAACAGGAGAGAACTGGAGGCTGGGAGTTCGGGAGGAGCCTATCAAGGTGGTCCGGGGAACCAATGGTGGTGGCTCAGGCCAAGGAATGGCAGTGGCGATGGAGAAGTGGGTGCAGTCAGGTGATATTGAGAACTGGCCTTGGCCAGTGACTGGAGGCAGGGGGTCGGGGGAGGAAGAGGGGCAGTCGAGGATGGCTCCCAGTCTCCCGAGCGAGTGGCAGGCCAGGGAACAGGCAAAATCATGGCGGAAGTGTTAGGTCACAGGCTGGAGATCAGAGGGAGTGGGATGGGGGTTCTAGAATTCGCACTGGAACCTGGAGACCTCCCCATAGATCCCCTCAAACTCTCCTCCGTTTCTCCTGTGCAGTTAATTTCATCTTGCCTGTAGCTAGCCTTGTGTTGTCAACAACCCTGAGGACTCCCAAAGGGCAAGGTCCAGGCCTTCTGCTCTGCCTCCCCAGCATCTACCAGGGCTGTTGGTTCACAAGCACCAGTGCCTCCTTTTGCCTCACTGAAAGTATCTAGCTTCAGCCACATGCAGAAGTTCCCCAGAATGATGCCTGCAGGAGCAGGGGATGCGGTGAGGGTCTGAGGACCTGTAGCCCAGTGTGAAGCTCCGACCCTCTGCCACGACTTTGTGGAGAGGCAGGGACGGCCTGGGAACATGGTGAGGGTGTAGACAGATCATGTGGCCTTTCAACCTGGAAGAAGCTCACCTGAAAGTGTTCAGGCTTTGAGGACAGAGCCTTGGGAATGGCAGAGCCAGGAACCATCAGTTTTTGCTTGGCTGCTTCTCGTGTAGCTGTGCCCAGGAGGTCTTCATCCCCTGGGGAAACACAGTCCAGGGTGGGTTCTCAGAGGCTGGCGCTCAGGAGGTTTTGATGCATTTCCCCCAAGGACCAGCTCCTAACTAAAAACATGGCCAAGAAGCCCTGATAGGGGCACATGTCCTCCCCAGAACATTCCCATGGGTCTCCTCCTACCCTCAGTAACCCCGGGCCCCACTCTCCATACATGGGGGCTCCCGGAAATGGCCATCTTTGCCTCCCTTTGTAGCCCACTGGAGGCTGGGTCTTACATCTAGAGATGACAAGTGGACATATTGGGGTGATATGGCCTCAGCCAGGTGTCTGGAGATCTAGCCTCTAGACCATAACCTGGTTACAGTCCTTCTGCAGGCCTCAAGGGATGGGTCTCGAAGGTTTCAAAGAGCCCATCCAGCTATACTTGAAGAAGGGCAGGGGTAAGCTCCATGGAAGGACATACCTGTCTTCTCAATATCCTGGTGGGTCATAAGGGCCACCTGTAGGGTGACAGTGCACTGCAAGGGAAAGGCAGGGGAGCTGTAAGCCAGATCCTGCAATCCTTGGCCAAGTGATAGCACTGGAACCCCACCCAGCCTGGCGGGTTCATGCCTAGTCGTCCTGGGTGGAGCAATGCCGACCCTCATACAGGCCCAAACCACAAGGGCCTGTGCAGTCTGGGGTGGTGGGAGGTTATGAACTGGGGGGGAGAGAGCAGTGGGTTACAGTAGAGAGGATTTGGAGAATAGGGGAGCCATGTAGATAGGTAGAGGAGAAAGAGAGGGGACTTGGGGCGAGCCGAGAATTACTGATGCTAACAGCTCTGCTCTTAGCCCAAAATCCCATAACCGACCTCCTGCCTCCAAGTGCCCTCACTACCCATCCATCCTCTGGAATTGCCCCCTAAACACTCCCTAAGTGCCCTAAAGAGTAAAGCCACAACTCACCAGCATAGACCACAAGGGCTTTCACCTCTGGCTCCTGGCCGCACACCCAGTCTCAGCCCTCCCCCCTTTCATGCCCTCTGTTCTGTGTGCTCACCCTCCTGAGCCTGCCCTGCTGCCTATTTCTCCCTCCAGCCTTCACACAAGCACCTTATACTCCTGCCTGGGATCGTCTTCCTTTCCTGTCCATTGGGTAAACTCACATCCCTCCTTAAGATTCGCCTGAGAAACTGAATATCCAGATGGACGGTGGCCAGACCAAATATAAAAATGGAACTCTGGCCCACAGTCCACAGCAATCAGCCCAGGAAACCAACTAGTATCTGCAGTAACCAGCCCAGGAAGCCAGCCTGTTGTAAGTCAGCCTTATAGGAAGTCTGACCACCAGCTCTAGCAACAATCCAGAAAGCCTAACAATAGCAATCAGCTCAAATGGCCAGGACTTGGTTAATAACTGACAGCTTCCCTAATTTTTGTCCCCATCTGCAGCTTAGGACCAACCGGAGAAAGTCAAATACACACCCCTAACCCATCACACAGGATGCCCCGCTTCCAGTTAGCCCTCTTCCAGCTTCCCCATGCCAACAGCCTCCAACTGGGGCACACCTGGAGTCTTCCCTTTTTTCCACGATAAAGCTTTCCCACTCCTCTGCCTGCCTTTGAGTGTCTGCCAAAACACGAGTGATGGTGGCTGACTCACCTGCTATAGAAAGCTCTGAATAACTAGCCTTTGCTTGTTCTCATTTGGTTGGTCTTCGTTTGTTTCCACACGTTTTAATTACCTTTGTAAAGCCTTCCATTACCTCCCAAGTGGAATCAGTCATTCCCTCCTGATCTCAGCGACCTAGTTTTACTCACCCTGGTACCTGTGTGCTGGAGCACTTGTCACCGAGTGGTGCCCACTCCAACAGACCGTGGGTTTCGTTCAATTTTGTATCCCAGGCCTAGCACAGTTGCTGATATCCAGTGGACAATCAAATAAATAATCAATCTAAACAGGTGGGTTAAGGGTGGAATGGTGGGTAGGAGGATGGATGGTGGGATGGAAAAGTCGGGGGGACGATGGCCGTGTGATGAGGCCCCCCCGGGGCAGGAAGCACTCTCTGGGTGGGGACACTGGGCCTCTGCTGGAGCTGAGTAGCCCAGCTTTACTGGCTGCCCCTACTCCTCCAGCCACCCTTCTTGGGGCCCGACTCACTTCTGTGGGCTTCATGGAATGGTTGAGCAGGGTCAGGTCCTTCACAAAAAGCACTTCTCTGGGTTTTTTCACCAAGGGCGTGAGCATTATTGTGGCCAGGCCCATGAACCTGGGGAAATGAGGAGCAGGTATGAGATCCTGAGCCAGGGAAAAGGATGTCCTTCTCTGTTCAAGGCATGATTTTATCTAGAGATTCTTTTTTCTCCTAGAGACTGTGTTATCCACGAAGAGAGGCTGAAGGAAGAATGCAGTGATGGGGAGCATCCACCAGAGGGCGCAGGACTCTCAAGTCTCTGGGAACTAACTGGCTTTGGGGCTTCCTGGGCAGTGGGTGCCCCAGTTACTGGCTCTGCCCTGCCCAGTCCCTTCCCAGAAACTGCTCCCACACTCTTCTGGAATGAGAACTCTGCCAAGTAACAGCTGATTGGATCACGAAATAGACACCTGACCGAAGCTGAGCCAATCAGATTCTCTGTCCTAGGAATTTTTGACCTAGGATACTGTAGCTTCGGCCTCAGTGGGATGTGAGTCTCAGCTGGGCACTAGAATCGGGGTGTGATGGGAAGCCAGGGTTGGGCAGAGAGAACCAGAGACTTGAGATCCAGTAGCCTCAGAAGAGACAGATCTGCTCCTGGGTTCCCAGGTTCCCGGTTCTAGTCAATCTGCACTCCTAGCCTTGCTACCTTTCCACAAATCTCCCTTTTTTTTTTTTTCATTAACTGGCCGAAGTGGGTTCTGGTCCTTGTGCCTGAGTGAGTTGTGGACTAGAGATGCAGCATCTGCTGTAGCTTTCGTTAGAGTCAGGCACCTCCTACCTCTCTCTGACTCACCTTTCTTTCTTTATTGAGCCCATGTCCCGAAGGATGATTTGCAGGAAAGAGTCATTTTTCAGGGGGCGGTTCCAGAGGTGCCAGATTATGGTCTGTGGGAGGCACAGAGAGATCAGCATCCTTCCTCTACCTCCCCCTTCCCATCCTTCTAGGCAATGAGAAAAGATGCAGGGAACGGGCTGGCACTGTGTTTCCCTTGAACTGAGGAACCTCCCCCAAGTCTAATTTGCTAAGAGGAAGGCCTTGCTACTTTTCACCAAGGTGCTGGGCATCCTATTTGGGTTCCCGTGACTTTAGCTGTAGTATCATGGGCGTGTTAGTAGTTAAGAGGTTTGGGAACCAAGCGAGGGAGGACATGGATGGATGGAAGATGAGATCCTGCACAGGGAGCCTTATCTTTGCTTCAGGTTTCTGGGAACATTAGAATGGCCCAGTTGGACACGATGGGCTGTACTATGCCCATCCCCAGAGTCTGTCCAAGAACAGCTATGGGCAGATATGGCTGTTGTGGCCCTCAGGCCTTCACAGCCTTGTCAGCTCAGAGGCTACTCCCAGGCCAAGATGCCCCAGCCTTGGGTAAAGCCTTTGAGGCTCCCTGTCCTCTCCCTTCTGAGGACAGCCTGGACCCAGCCTCACTCCTGGGGTAGTTAAGGTCTCTTCGGGGCTTTCCTAGATGGCTTTACCTCGTTCCATGTGGGGTTATTCCCTTCTATCTCACGAGTTCTCCTCTTGATATCTGCAAAGACACCAAGGGGCTGGCATTGGTGGTAGGAAATGTTTCAAAGTCTAAGTTCGAGTCGGGTAAAGAAAGGAAGGAAACTTCAAGTCTGCATTGGCAGGTATTGGCACTATTCTTACTCCGAAGATTTCAGACTTTCCACTTTTTGTAAGAGTAACATCAGCCCACATCACAGATACTATGACGTGTTCATTTCATTTTCTTCTTGGCTGCGCAGTTCCCAGCCACCTTGCAGCCGGTTGGTGCCTTGTGACTTGTTCTGGCCAATGGGGTATGGGAGTGATATTCACCACTGCCAAGCCTGGCCCCTAAAATCTCCCCTGAGATTCTCCATTCTTCTCCTCACTCCCAAGTCCACACTCACGATCTGCTGGCAGGGTGGTGCCTGGGTGACTTTGCAGCCACAAGCAGCGAGCAGCTGGTCTCTAAACTACTGTTTGAAGGAGGCTCTCTGGGGAGCTGCCTGACCAGCCCCATCCACGCAGGGCTTGAGTGAGCAAGAGGTAAACTTTTATTGTGTTAAGGCAGTTTAAGGGTTTATTACCATAGCAAAGCCTAGTGTACCCTAAGACACCCCAAAACATCTATAATGGGTTGGGAGCTCCTCAGCCACTAAAATCCCCCTCCTCCAGAAATATCTTTAACAAAGACCAGTCTATAGCCCTGCAAAGAACCTCTAAATTGCTAAATTACTTTGAGATTCTTCCCAAGGAAAGGATGCGAGAGAGAGAGAGAGAAAGAAAGGGGGAGAGTGAGCCTCTTAGACAGCAGGAAGGGGTGCAGCTTTGTGGATGGTATTTGGAGAAAGAGGGCTAGGAAGAACAGGTGAAAAAGGAATAAAAAATATCAAACAAACATTCAGTTATAAGAATTGGTAGGTAAATCTATGAGTAAACCCAGGATTCTGGGTTTTAGGCATCTTTGTAAGAATTATTTCTAGGAGGAGAAAGATGGTGCCCAGGGGACGGTGGGGAAGATTGCTCAGAATCAGGGAGAGGAGCCGCGGGGCTGTTCCCTGGCTCACCATTAAATGAGTGAGTCAGGGCAAAGACACATGAACAGCCACTGCACCGCTTCAAACCTCAGACTGGGAGCATAAACATCCATCGCCCTGGGAGCCTGGAGTCCCAAATGTTGTCATGTTCAGCAAGCACAGTTTCACAGACCAGGAAGAAAATGGAAGGAATTTCATTCTTCACTCATGTCTCTTAGAGAAACTGCTGTGTCCTTCTTTTCTCTTGCTCCAATTTTCTCACTCTCCACACTTTCCAGAAGACCTCATTTGCCTGTAGCCACCTCCCCAGACTCTCTGCCCGCTGTTCGTTTTTCTTACCCTTCTTTCTCTTTTGCTCCCAGGTTTGTTATATAAGTATACTTCATATTTTTTATTCTCTCTCATAAATCCTTTCACTATCTCCCTCCTGACCTTTCTTAGACTTTTTTCCTTATCTATAAAATATAGAGACAATAAAACTTGCCTCAATTGCCCCATGGAATTGTTGTGAGGAGCAAAAGTCATTATATTTATGAAAATACAAATTTGATTATTGATTTTAAAAGTGATTAATATTATTGAGCAATTATGAGAAGTTGTACAAAGAGCTGTACATATATTATCTTTTAAAATCCTCACATCAATCCTATGAAGCAGGTATTTTTTTCTTTAAACTGTAGTTTGTGGCACAACTCTAGTTCACAGAAGAAGCTTGAAAAAGAGTTAATCTTCTCTTTTTCCTATAGCCATTTCCTGGAAAAAATGGGAGGCAGAGATGTCATAATAAGAGAAATAAGAGCAATAATAGCAATAAAGATGATAAGTTTTGAAAGAACGAGATGGTGTCTACCTCACCTTTCTGTTACACAGGGCATCATTTACACAGTAGGGCACCAAGAAATCTATCTTTTCACTGAATACATCTCGCTTCTCGGGGCTCCTCTCTCCCACCCAGGGCCTGGCTCTCACCTCTGAAGTAGACGGTCACGCAGGGTCTGGGTGGGGGTATTAGGGGCGGGTTAATGTTGGCTGACTCCACGACAAGCCGCAGCATGTCTTCGACCTACTTCCGTCCGTCCCTCTGCAGCAAAGCTTCCTTCTTGGAGCACCTCGATCAGAGGCTTCTCCCACGGCTCCTGGGGGTCAGTGGAGCCCTGAGTCTGTTGCTTAGCAATAGAGCCCATGTCACAAAGCTGGGTGGTTCTCGGTTCTGGAAAGGAATCAAGGCGAATGAGAGAAGTAGTTACAGGGACTATGGAGCCAAGGACCTGAGGTGACTAGGCCTGGAAAAACCAAACAATTTGGCCGCTCTTCATTTCCTCTTTCTTTTCTGTTTTATTCTTACTGTCCTTCTGATTGCAAGATCAGGTCTAAGAGTCATATTTTCTCTTTCTACAAGCAAGTTGTCTGAAGTGAATCCTTGCTAAAGTCACACAATTTAGATGAGGAAACAAGAGAAGCGAGGAAATCTGAGGAAAGGAACAGGGACGTCAAAGACGAGTTCAGGGACATTTCGGAAGGAATCCTGCCTGATGTCGAAGCAAACAGTTAGGCCTCATTTTTCTAAAGGAAACCTCAGTTCAGACATGTCTCTCTTTCAGAAAGGGAAATTAGCTTTTTACCTAATGAGCTCTTTCGCCAGCTGGGTTTGTAAGGCTGAAGAAAAACCTCAGAGCTGATACAATTTTGCTGTGGCGTCGTGACAGCTTTCAAGGCCTCTCCGCGTGACGATGGCATAGGGACGAAGCTGGGTTGTTGGTTCTTGTCCACATTCAGGCTTTTTCTGCTTTAAGGTTGAACATTTTATCTGACGATTAGCCTGAAAATTAATGGATGTTTTAAAAGTGTAGTTGGTTGATGAAACAATTTAGCAGTAGGCTTCCTACGCATTCTAAGACATGCATGGCATTCACAGACCAAAAAGCTGGATGTGTGATCTTGGTGCCATGATTGATTGCTTTCTGGCACAGCAGATTTAAAAAGAAACAGCACTTCCTGACAATTTTTCTTGAAATCCAAACACAACACAATGCTTTTTGCTTTGTTAATCATTTTCCAAACTAAGCAAGGCACAAAAGGCAAACCCAATAAAGGAAAAGGCTGGTAGATTTGACCGCACAAATTTAAAATTTCTGTACAGAAAAATATACTTCAAAGTTAAAAGACAAATATCGAAGTAGGGAACCTTTGCAACATATTTTTTTTCTCCCCAAATCCCCCCAGTACATAGTTGTATATCTTAGTTGTGGGTCCTTCTAGTTGTGGCATGTGAGACGCCACCTCAACATGGCCTGGTGAGCGGTGCCATGTCTGTGCCCAGGATCCGAACTGGTGAAACCCTGGGCCACCAAGGCGGAGTGCGCGAACTTAACCACTCAGCCACGGGGCTGACCCCTCTTTGTAACATATTTAATGTCCAAAAGATTATCAGCTTTTCTAGTGGGAGCTCTTATAATTCAATAAGAAAAAGACGAATATTTCTAAGGAAAATGGGGGCAAAGTTTCTCTCAGATAATGCTCAAATGGATATAAAAAACAATTCAGTCTCTTTAATAATCAAAGAAATGCAATGCGATATCATTTATCACTTTGCCAAGTTAGATTCAAAAGCCAAAAAACGATGGAAAAAAATTCAAGCTCATTAATAAGGAAATAAATGCAACAAGATATGAATTTATCACCTCCCCAATTGGCAAAGAATGAAAAATTTGGTGTGCTAAGGAAGGAAGGAAGGAGGGCAGAGAAAAGATACAAATCATACACAGCCCTGATGAGATATAAATAGAAAAATAGCAGAATCCTGGCCCAAGATAACTGCCCCGGAGAGAGAATTAAGGGTGGGGAGAGGCTGGGCAGGAACGGCTCTTTTTTTGGTCATTTCTAGTAGTAGTATCCTCTGTATTTCTAAATAGCATATTTAAATGACGTCACTTGAATTTTTCAGTTAGAGACATTGTCTATCGCGTCAGCTCTCTGACTGCATCTCTCATGCCTCTCCTGCCTCCCAGCTTCTCTCTCCCCAGCCTACCCCAACTCATCAGCTTTAGACATTAGCTACTGCTGCTCATTACACATGATGAGGCGTTTATCCTTTTCACACTCTGCCTTACCTGTATCCTATTCTCCCAATATAATTATATCTCATTTAGAGGTTAAATCTAGCTTCAGTGTTTTCTCTACTGTGATAATGTATAGTTTTTCACTGTAGATCAAGTAATATACTCCAATTCCATGTCCTTTCTCATTTAACTTCATGTTTTTCCAAAAGTAAGAATTGCTTCACTTTTTCATTTGCTTGCTTTTCTTGAAAGTCTGACCAAGTCTTCCCACATCCTTTGACAGCTCTGTGATACTCCTTTTAATACAATTTCCCCCAGATTCACATCCATCAGGTATTTTACCAGTTTTACTGTTGTCCTAGAGATATCCGTCCTGGCCCTCTCTCCTCCCCAGTCTACACCGATTGCCCCCCAGCCTGTGGCATAGCTGTCGTCCTGGGACTTCCCTTCACCATCATCTTTAGAATTCCCCTTGTCTGCCTTTTGTGTTGGACCCTGTTTTCTAGATCCTATGTCTTCCTCTTTCTTGATTTACTCTCTCACCTTAGTGGAACACAATTTTTAGTAGCTTTCTGAATTTTTTGAGTGTTTGCGGGTCTATACATGTCTTTATTCTCCCTTCACACTTGATAGATCGTCTAGTTGAATGGGCTGTGATATGCTGAGGTAACAAACAAACCCAAAATCTCAGCGGCTCAAAACAATAAAGGTTTCTTCTTTGTTTTAATAGCAGCTTTACTGAGATATCATTCACATACCATAAATTCAGCCTTTTAAACTGTACAACTCAGGTTTTTAGTATATTCACAAGGTTGTACAACTATCACGACTGTCTAATTCTAGGTTATTTCATCACCCTAAAAAGAAACCTCATATCCATTAGCAGTCACTCCTCATTTCCTCCTTCTCATAGCCCTTGGAAACCATGAATCCACTTTTTGTCTCTACAGATTTGCCTATTTTGGACCTTTCAAATAAATGCATTCATGCAATATGTGGCTTTCTGTGACTGGCTTCTTTCACTTAGCACAATGTTTTCAAAGTTTGTTCATGTTGTAACATGTATCAGTACTTCATTCCTTTCTACGGCTTAATAAATCCATTGTAGAGATACACCACATTTTGTTTATCCATTCATCAGTTGATGGACATTTAGGTTGTCAACACTTTTTGGTTATTGTAAATAATGCTGCTCCGAACATTTGTACACTTGCTTTTATGTGTACGTATGTTTTCAGTTCTCTTGAGTATACATGTAGGAGTGGAATTTCTGGGTCACATGGTAATTCTATGTTTAGCTTTCTGAGGAAATGTTTTCCAAAGTGGCTGCACCATTTTACAATCCAACTAGCAACGTATGAGGGTTTTAATTTCTCTACATACTTTCAACACTTTATTTTATTCTTCTTATTTTTTAAGGAGGACTGGCCCTGAGCTAACATCTGTTGCCAATCTTCCTCTTTCTGTTTGAGGAAGATTGTCGCTGAGCTAACATCTATGGCAACCTTCCCCTATTTTTGCATATGGGACACCACCACAGCATGGCTTGATGAGTGATGTGTACGTCTGGGCCTGGGATCTGAACCAGTGAGCCCTGGCCCCCTCAAGTGGAGCATGCAAACTTAACCACTACGCCACCGGGCCGGCCCTTGTCAACACTTTCTATCGTGTTTTTTGCCGTTGTTGATTTTTTAGCCATCCTAGTGGGTGTGAAGTGGTAAAGATTTATTTTTCAGCTTGCACCATGTTTCTTGCCTTGGTGTCTTGTTATCAGTCAGTCAACCAATGGATCAATCAATCAGTCAACACAGGAACCATCCCCTATGTCCTGGGCTATGTTCTCTGAAGGATATGAACAGGGTTAACATCCCCAGTTTTGAGGATCTGTTCTCTCTTTACAAAACACAGAGGAAAGTTAACACGAAGTAGTCTGTGGTCAGTACCAAAATTCTTTTTTTTTCAATTGAGGTAACATTGGTTTATAACATACAAATTTCAGCTGTACATCATTATATTTTGATTTCTGTGTAGACTGCATCATGTTCGCCACCCAAAGACCACCATCTGTCACCATACACATGTGCCCTATCACCCCTTTTGCCCTCCTCCCTCCCCCCTTCCCTCCTGGTAACCACTAATGTAATCCCTATAGCTATGTATTTATTTGTTGTTGTTGTTTATCTTCCACTTATGAGTGAAATCATATGGTATTTGACTTTCTCCATCTGACTTATTTGATTTAGCATAATACCTTCAAGGTCCGTCTAAGTTGTTGCAAATGGCACAATTTCATCTCTTTTTTATGGCTGAGTAGTATTCCGTCGTGTGTATATACCACATCTTCTTTACTCAGAATTCTTGCTGGGGCATCTAGGGTCCTGCAGACTCTGGCATATGTCTAGCTCTCCAGCTTTGTCTCTCTCCACTTGCTGACCATTGCTTCCTAGCTACACTGTTCTTGCCTTTTTAAAAAAATGCTATCAAGCTCCTTTCTCCTCAGAGGCTTTGTCTTTGCTGTTCCTTCTCCTGGAGAGCTTCTCTCCCTGCTTCTACCATGTTCCCTCATTCTTCTCTTGTAGTTTCAGCTTCCATGTCACCTTCACAAGGACACCTTCCCCAACCCAAGCCAAGGCTGGCTCACTGTTCTGTGCCTTCTCTCACCTTATACTTTTACTTTTCCTTATTGCTGTAGGCATGGTGAGGAGTGGAGCTGTGAGGGGTTAAACACCTAGTTTGCAGAGCCAGATGGCTGGGTTCCTATTCTGCCTTTGATACTTACTAGCTGTGTGACCTTGGGAAAAATACTTTACCTTTCTGAGTATGACTACAATAGAACCTAGCATTTAAAGTCTTTGAGAGGATTAACTGAAATAAGTCATGTATGTCACTTAGAGCTTGTTTGGCATTCTCCAAATGTTAGCCTTATTACCACAATTATAAGTTAAGCATTTATGTAGATTAAAAGGAAGTATGCCTTGTCAGTGCTATATCCTCAGCACCTAGCACAGTATTTACCACATAGCAGAATTTAAGAAATATTTGTGATTGAATGAAGGCCAAGTGTATCCTACAGGATATCAGAGGAAGGAGAGGCATTAAAGAGAAGAGATGGCCCCCTCTTATCAATCGGCAGTGACAGCTTGGAGTCCTGTATGGAAAAATGATTTTGCAGCTGCCTCTGGGTTCACAGGTAGAGTGGACTGTGATTGATTAATCATGTCTGCCATGGGCACAGGAAAAAAACCTGCAGCACAAGCACTAACGATTTGACATCCCTGCTGTAGAAAAGGCTCAGAGTTGTGTTGAAAACAGTACAGAATTGTGAAGTGACAACTTGCTCCTTCTCTCCACTGCCGGCCCTGCTTTCCTCTAGGCACTCAGGACTCCGCGTGGCATTGCACAGGCCCTCCGGAGCACTGTGTCTTTCTTTGGGCTGGTGTTGCACCCTGTTTCCGTCAGCATTACAAGTCAGTAGGCTCACTCCTGCCCTGATAGAGCAACCAAAATGAACCAATCCGCTAATCACCCTGAAATGACTGGACTTGACCCCTGATTGTGTTTTCCATCCCAGGGACATCTGCATTTAAATCTAGCTGGGGCTGGTGTGTGTGTGCCCGTGTATAGGGATGGGTGATGGATCGAACGCCACAGGGGCCAAGGAGGCCTACTGAAGCTGGCCAGAGCACGGGCATAAGCAGACCCCACGCCTGCCACACCAGAAGGTCAGTCCAATGCTGCCACAGCCTCCAATTTTTCAAGAGAATCCAGAAATCTGGATTTTTACATGAAATCTCCCAAGTTTAAAATGTTTGCAGTTAAATAAAATTTTAAGAGAGTAATGTGCGGGCTAATGAAAACAGTGTTGGGTGTATTTGGCCTATTTGCTATCTCTGCACAGGTCCTCACCAACCTTTCCAATTCTTCTGCAATGGCCTGGTCCTTCAGAGCCCAGCCTCAGGTGACTTCCTCTTCATGACACCACCCCCATCCTCTGGTCAGGAAAGCTTTCTTCTAGAACACTCTGTGGTCCCTCATGGTAATTACCATCTTGAAATCTATTTATGTTTCTGCCAGGCACCATGCATTACCCATTTCATTCTCTCAGCCACCCAGTGAAGTGTTTGCGCATTTAGAGATGAGGGGACGCTGCGGTCTTGTTGGGGTCACGATGCCAGCTAGTTAAGTGCTGGAGGTGAGATTCCAACCCCCTAAGCCTGCTCTCAGCCTTGAGGGGCACTGCCTTCCCTTTATCCTTCAACTCCATACCGGCGGGGCCCTGGTCTTGATTCATCTCTGCAGGAACCAACACCACTCTGGAAAGCTGGATAAATGTTTCTTTTCTTTTTATTTAATACACTTTCTCTTTAGAGCAGTTTTAGGCTCACAGCTACCTTTTAGTTTAAAATTTATTCTAATTTTTATCGTGGTCATTTCTTAAGAGTAAAGTCTTAACGAGCACACGCAGCGGCGCCCCGTCCCCACCCCCGCTCTGGCGGAGGTAGAAAGTCGGTTGCGCGCCCTCCCACCCCTGGCCACGCACCGGGCAAAGGAACAGCGCAGGGCGGGCAGCGGGAACCGGGGCTGCAGGAGCCAGCCTGCTCCTTTGCCCAAGCTTTCCCTGCTGAAAATGCAGGAGGCGGAAACTCCGGACTGTGCGCGGACTTTCGGCCTCCGAGACCGGCGCGCGTTCCCGGCTCTCCTTTTCCCGCCTCCCAGGCCGCCGCTGTATCCTTTCCGGGTTTTCCCGCTCACCGCTCCTCCCTTCCCAGGCCGCAATCCGCTTCCGCGTTTTGCCGGGGCCCGGAGCGCCGGGGCGTGGAGGCGGTAACGCGCACGCGCGCGGGGTCCGGCCCGGGCCGAGCGCGCGGCCCGGAGATTGCGGGTGAGGGCAGCCTCGGCCCGGCGCGGTGGCGGGCCCTGGGAGTCGCGGTCGGGTCGGAGCGGGCGGGGGGCTCGGCGAGGGCCGCAGGGCTCCCGGGGCATGGGGGGGCCGGGAGCTGGAGCCCGGGGCCGGGGCGGCCGGGGCCGGACGGCCGTGTTGGGCGGGGGGCGGACTTGGGCCGCGGTGACGCGGGCGCCGGGCCGGGGCAGGGCCCAGGCGGGCGGGAGGCGGGTGCGAGGCGGCTCCTCCTCGTCGCGAACTCTCGGTGACCTTGGCCAAGTCCCTTCATCCTCTCGAGCCGGCGCCTTCGTCTGTAAAGTGCGAGTTATGAGCCCTGCCGACGAGATGGGCCGTTTTGAGGTTCCGTGGCGAGACCCCCGCGGGGTCCGTGGAGTAGCGGGCGGTTTGCCTGGACGAGCCCGCCCCCGGGTGAGGGAGCGAGGGCTTCCTGGGGCAGCGTTTTGTTGCAGGCTTTGGGGAGACGCTCTCACGGGTATATTTTAAAACCTCCAGAGTATTATGAAGTAGTTGCAAAACTTTTGTTTAACGTAGAACAAGAGCCTTCCAGAGCTTTCGAGGCCCGGGCTGCCCCGCAGTCGCTGCGGCGCTCAGGCTCCGGCTGCAGAGACGGCTCTGTGAAGCTCTAGAGGGTGGGAGGGAGCAGAGACCCTTCGCTTGGGAGGGATTAATATTTTTGATTCCTCTTGCTTGCCCAAACCCTTCCCGTCCGCATAGAAAATTCTGGCGCCGGCCAAGCAAGTGTAGTATCTGTCATGTGAGGCCTTTGGGAACAGTGGAGCCGCTCAGCCTTCCAGTTAGCGAATTTTGTAGAGGTCGGGTGTGGAGGACCTCATGGTGCCATAGCCTGTGTTGGTGCTGTGGGATCTCAGGAACCCTCCCTGTGGGGCGGCAAGCATCTGCTGTGTAATGGATATTCAATTATGATGATAGACGGTCACAAAAGTAAGAAGCATGTTAGATGTTCTAGGTTGGAAGAGTATTTGAATTGACTTAAACTGAAACTTTTTGCTGCAGGTGACTAGCATGCAGTTACCCATTCTCTGACTTGCTGCCCTGTTACTGACATGGCCCACCGGGGTGGGGACAGGGACTTCCAGACTTCAGCGCGGCGCATGGGCACCTCGTTGCTCTTCCAGCTGTCAGTGCACGAACGGGAGCTGGACCTGGTTTTTCTGGATCATAGCTATGCCAAGCCATGGAGTGCCCACCCGGATGCCAGTAGTGCCCGCCCCACCCGCATGCTTTTTGTTACTCCCCGGAGGCAGCACGAAAGTACCATGTGAGTTTGGGCTTCTCTCCTGAGGCCTGCCGTTGACGTCATTGGGCGGTGATCAGATGGTGGCAATTAGGATTCTGTGTGGGAGATTATAGTGGGGGTTCGGGTGTTTAATTCAGGCATCTCTCTTAAGCATTGTGAGGCCATCAGGCTTATAGGTGGACATCTGCATTCAAGCCATCTAAGGAGTTAGGAAAGCAAGATGTTCAAAGGAGGGCCAACAACCTATTCCACTTAGATAATAGGACTTGTATGGAAAGAGGAGATTGAAGAGGATTATTTAGCTGGTGAAGAAAAAGACTAAAGAGTTGACTTTTTAAAAAACTCTTTATTTTTCCTTCTCCTGAAAGCCCCCCCAGTACATACTTGTATATTTTAGTTACAGGTCCTTCTAGTTGTGGGATGTGGGATGCTGCCTCAGCATGGCCTGATGAGCGGTGCCATGTCCGTGCCCAGCATCTGAACAGGTGAAACCCTGGGCTGCCGAAGTGGATCGAGCGAACTCAACCACTTGGTCACAAGCCAGCACCTAAAGAGTTGATTTTTAAAAATTGCCGTACAGGATTAGACTCATTCCTTTAGTCCATTGTTCTGGCTTGTCCAACACTGGCAACAGTGACCTTTTTACAGTAATGCAGTTTGCTTTTTCTGGCTTCACCTGCAAAGTTTAGGAGCATATTCCCAAGACCTTGCTTCTCTCTTAGCTTGTTACAGAACTGTCACCCATGGGTTGATCTAAACCCTTCTTAGGTCTGGTTATATTTTCAGCTGGCCTACATTATAGGGTAAGGAATTTTTTCATAAACTTACTGTGTAATATGTGACACAATTACATTAGGCCTAAATAAATTTGTTTACCAATTCTTTTGAGCTTTAAGGTATTCTAATTACTTTACATTTCAAGATTGTTGACATATTTTATTTTGATGATCACATCATGCCCTTAATAATTTTGTAAACTTTTTTGTTTGTTTGTTTTAATCTGACCTAATGTTTAATCTTTCCTCTAGCACAGGTCTTAGGTTTGTTGGGGAATAGAGATCTTATATTTTGCTTCTTTAGGTTCCCCAGTGAGCCTTAATAAGCTAAAGGTACCGTGATGTATGTATTTTAAACACATGTAGAATAGTGGTTTTTGTTTCATTTCCCAATGAGGGCAGCATTTTGTTGGCTTCTTTGGTTGTACAGGGCATGGGATCTGTGACTACAGGGAATAATCCAGCTTAATCCTGATGCCTCTGGCCTAGGGCATAACTGAAGAGCTCCTTCAAATAGAATTTGAAGTCTTTTTTGTCTTAGTTATGTAATAGCTTCTTGCTAACATTGAAACTCCTATGTTGATATCTCATGATATTTTCTTAAAGTGAGATTCTTTGGACTTGGTCATTTCAGTACTTAGAAAATTATTTCCTCTTATATACTGTCTCCATATATTGGCCCTGAAAGTGGGAGTTTGGCACGTTCTGGGAACCCTTTTTAGGCCACTGTGTCTAGAATATGGTTGCAATGGGGGTGTAAGTGGGAGCTAGGGGAGAAGTTGACAGAGGCTACCTCATATAGGAATTTGATTCTAAGAGTGGTAAGAAATTGTTGAAGGGTCTTAGACTTCCTGCTTGAGCAGCTGGGTGATGCCATAAGTTGGGGAAGACAGGGAGAGGATAGGTTTGGAATGGTGAAATCGACAGTTCTCTTTTGGGCATGCAGGTCCAAGCGCCCAGCCGAGTGTCTGGTCCAGACAATATAATCAGCTCTTTCACCTACCACCAAATCTAGCTGCACATTGTTTCACTTCATTTCATAGTGATGTAATTGTTCCAGCCATTGGGAACGGGTGCAGTAAGATCATCGAGGTCAAAAAGTTAAAGTGGCGTTTGGTAGACAGCCAGTAGACCAGTTTGTTTGGCATAGTGTCGTGAGTCACAAAGGTGGTACGGTGAAGGACCCTTATAGCACTTTTACAACACTTTAAACTTATACAGCATTTTAAAATATGGAAGATCCCTCACATGTCCATTTCCATTTGTTTTTGTTCTAGGCTCCTTGTGCAGTGACTTAAATACCTAAGGTGTCTACATTTCAGGTGATCCGTCTTAGGGAGTCATAGGCTTTCACAGCATATAATTAACTATCAGTTGGCTTGTTAATGAAAGGGAAAGTTTCTGTGGATAATTTAAAATGCTAGACCAGCACTGTCCAACAGAACTCTCTGTAGTGGTAGAAATGTGTATCTGTGCTGTCCAGTATGATAGCCACTAGCCACATATTTCTGTTGAGCACTTGAAGTGTCGCTAGTGTAACTGAGGAACTGAATTTTTAATTCTCTTTAATTTTTATTAATTTAAATAGTTGTGTGTGGCTTATAGCTATTGTACTAGAAAGCACGTTTAGGCAGTCAGCTATTTGCTTATGTAATATATTTGTCTTTTTAAAAAAAAGAGCTGTTTGTCATTTTTTGCGTGGACTCGTTTTAAAACGACTTTGTGTTCCCCTTGCACATACCAGCATGTCAGAGGCCAGAGATCTAGACAAGTGTGAGAAAGATGACTTTGGATCCTAATTTTCTTCTTAATTATATTAAAGAGACATTTTTTGGGCAACCCGATGATCATTAAACACCTGTGTTGTGTGAAGTACATGTGGCCTGGTCCTATTTTCTCACCTGTTTACAGTGAATCAGACGTCCCAATAGACGTGGAGACAGTCACAGCAACCCCTGTGCCACTGTATGACAATCAGAAGGCGCGCAGCGTGATGAACGAGTGTGAACGGCACGTCATCTTCGCCAGGACTGATGCGGATGCCCCTCCCCCACCAGAGGACTGGGAGGAGCATGTCAACAGGTAGGCCGCTCCTCAGGTGGACTGGTCACTACTGGATTAATGGTCACCACACTGTAGATGTTTTGTATCATCATCATCAAAACACATTTGTTAGGAGTTTATTTCATTTGCAGTCACGCAAGTCAGAATATTCTCTTAACTCTCTGTATTGTAACTCTCAGCTTCTTAAGAGAGGGCTTGTATCTCAGCCATCTTTGCATCCCTGACACCTAGGACACTGCCTGGCACATAGTAGGCATATAATAAATGTTTATTGAATAAATAAATGAATTAAATTGGATGGATATGACTAGCTCTGTAGCTTATGTAGTGCAAATTATGGTATGGGAGTTACTCAGGCTACGAAAAAAAACCCCCAAACCATTAAATAAATGTACGTTTAAGTATAAGATACTGTATTTATATGGGCTATAACTCAAGTAATGAAAACATTTTGGGAGTCATATGAAAAGCTAACAGATGTTTGATTTGAGTGGCTTTTAAAAATAGGTTTACAGTCTGTGGTTTTGAGGGAGCACTTCAGCCCATTTTCATGAATTTGCTGACTAGTTTTGTTCCTGTGCTTCCTGCTGACCTGGGGGCCTCAACACTCCTCTTCAGGTCATTTGTCATTCATTTGGCAGACATTTATTTATCTTTTATTTATTGCATAATGACTTTATGAAGATAAAATTTACATATACAATTCCCCTATTTAATTTGTACAATCAATGTGTGTTTTTAGTATATTCATCACCCCACTCAATTTGATGAACATCTTCATCATCCCAAAAAGAAACTCTGCCTCTTAACAGTCACTTCCCATCTCCTCCCATCCCCTGGCAACCACCAGTCTACTTTCTGTCTCTCTAAATTTGCCTATTCTGGACATTTCATATAAATGGAATCATACACTATGTGGTCTATGATGGACTTCTTTGCTTAGCAGAATGTTTTCTGGGTTCATCCATGTAGTAGCATGTATCAGTACTTCCTTCGTTTTTATTGCCGAGTGATATTCCATTGTATGGATATACCACATTTTGGTCATCTATGCATCCATTGATAGATATTTGGGTTGTTAACACTTTTTGGCTATTGTGAATAATGGTGCTACAAACATTCATGTGCTTGTTTTTATGTGGACATAGTTTTCAGTTCTCTTGCGTGTATACCTAGGCGTGGAATCGCGGGTCATATGGTCTCTTATGTTTAGCCCTTGAGGCATTCCCAGACTGTTTTCCAAAGGGGCTATGCCATTTTACATCCCCACCAGCAGTGTGTGAGTTCCAGTTTTTCCACATCTTTGTCAATGCTTGTTATTCTCTCTCTTTTTGTGTTAGGACCATTCTAGTGGATGTGGAGTGACGTCTCATTGTGGTTTTAATCCGCGTTTCCCTGGTGGCCCGCTCTCTCTATATTTACCTACTATGTGTAAGGGAACGTTAAAATCCTTACATCAGGAGTTGGTAGGTGGTAAACTTGCCATAATGTTGGAGAGCTCTTATTTTATAATAACAGAAGAGAAAGAGGTAATTTGGTACGAAGGAGGGTAGGAAAGTTTGACGCAATTGGCCTGATTTATGAGTCTGGTCGGAAGCAGGGAACGAGAGTGAGCCGGTGTGCTTGTGTGATCAAGGTAGTAGCTGTTGAGGGAGGAGCAGTTCTGCACCCTGATTGAAGAGCGTGTGAGGCACTTGTTTGAGGTCTTGAATTGGAGTTACTGTTGTGCCTTAAGAGGGAGAAATGCTCTCCAGAGCTTTAGATACAGAGGAAAACCCTGCTGTGAATGAAGATCAACTACTGGAGTACTGCCTAGGTCACTGAATTCAGCAAAACGGCTTATCACCATTGTTAGAGTTAATAATAATAAAAATAGTGACCAATGGTAGTAACAAAAAAGAACTACCATTTGTTGAGTGCTTTCTAGGTGCCAGGCATTGTGCCAAGCTCTTCATATGCATTCTTTCTTTTGATCCCCACAGTGACTCTCCAAGGTCTATCCTATCTTGATCTCTATTTTACACAGTGAGGAAACTGAGCTCAGGGAGTTTAAGAAACCTTAATTAGGAAGTGATGGAGCAGGGATTTGTTCAAAACAAGCAGTCTGACTCCAGAGCCCAGTGTTCTTGGCTACTGTACCCGCTGTTTAAGGGCAGTAAAGAGAGAGACCAGTTAGTGGTGGCTGAACAAGGTGACCTCACAGAGTTGTGTGTCCCGTTGTGGTGTTTACCGATTGCCTTGTCCTCAGTTTGCAATTTCAGTAACTGCACAGGAGAACTGCATAAAGTTTTTTATCAGTTCACCCAGGGTCGTGATCAAGAGGTTTTAGGGGACTCTTCATACTTGCCAAAGACATCAGAGGCTTAATAATACACATGAATACAATTTCTTAATTTATAAGGAGAAATATAACTGCAAGGCAGATGAGACAGTAGGGTGGCCTGGCCAGAGCACTGATTCTCAATGGGAGAGTCTGGGAAGCCATTCAATTCCAGAAGTGGATGGCTAGTGGAGAGTCTGCACAGGAGGCACCCTCCTTCAACAAGGTAGCTGGATGCACCCATCTTTCCTCAAAGCAAGGTGGGACCATAGCCTAGGTCAGGGCATACCCTCACCTGCCCAGTCCTGCAGAGATACAGTGACAGGTTCTTATCGTTGGCTTGTCTTTCTCCATGTGGACCTCCATCTTGTTATGACATTCCCACAGATTGATATGCTTAGTTAGTGCTCAGTTTATCTCAGATTATTTGTTTTTTGGTGTCTGATGAGATTTTGGAGGCGTCCTTCTCTCATTAGCAGCAGGCTTACAAAGCTTCTCTTCAGGTAGGTCACTTTTGCGCACAGCTAATTTGGTTATTTGCTGCTACTTACTGGCTTCACTTCTGGAGGTCACCATCTTGTGACCTTGTCCCTGGATTCTGGATCTGTAGCCTATTTGGAGGTTGCAGTTGCCTCTGCTCTGATTATAATCATCTTGTTGCCGTTCTTTCCCTTGACTTGATTGTTAAATTGCTGCTTCTTTTCTTCCTGTATAAAATCATGTGAAATTACAGTTTCCCACATCAAGAACTCACGGACTGTGGGACAGCTCCCTAGAAATCTGTTGGCCTCAGAGCTTACTGATTATCAGTGGAGTCAGAAACTTAATTTTCTTTGTTAGTGCTCTTTTTTCCCCTCTTGAATTATTTCAGTAGAAACTGCCTTCAGATGACTTTCTGAGTGTAGAAAATGAAGTCCCCCCCGCCCCCCCCCACTGACTCTCACTTTCTCTGCTAAAGCCTGATGTTTTGTGAGACAGTTTAAATCCCCCTTTCCGCCTGATTGAATTGTCTAGAGCAGGGGTTGGCAAACTGTGGCCCATGTGCTGAATCTGGCCCATTACTTGTTTTTCTATGGCCCATAAGCCAAGAAGGTTTTTACATCTTTAAGTGGTTGGAAAAAAATCAAAAGAAGACACATGAAATTCCCATTTCAGTGTCCGTAAATACGGTTTTATTGGAACACAGTCATGCCCGTTCATGTAGGTGTCTGTGGCTGCTTTTGTGCTATGACTGCAGAGTTGAATAGTTGTGACGGAGACCATTTGGCCACGAACTCTAAAATACTTACTATCTAGTCCATTACAGAAAAGGTTTGCTGACTTCTGGTCTAGAGCATGTTCTCGTGTCTACGTGCCAAAGCCATGACGTGGAGAACCTTTGAAAGTGATTTACGTTTGCTGGTGTACTAACGTTGTCCTGAAGAAGTTGGACTTGCTTTTTTTCCCAGATGTTTGTCAAATACCAAGTTTAATTAGATGTACAGCTTTTGAAAGACATTTAACAAAATACTCCTGGCACACGATACTTCTCAGCATTGCTCAAATGGATTTTAGACATTTCCAGCTTTTCAGTAAAAGAATCTAGTGTCCTAAAGCAGGTTGTTATATCTTAGGAATCAGAACTTCTGAATTCAGCCAAAACAACCCCATTCTCCTTTTTTACATTTACTCTAATTATCTCTCTCAATAGTGTATGTATCTATCTGTGCATTAGTCTTAGGTTGGATGTTTGACATTTTGAGTCCAAGATGTTTGAGTTGTTTATTTTCCCTCTTTTCTACCCCCCCTTCATTCCTTCCTTTCTCCTGGTATTTCCCCCACCTTTCCCCTTCCTTCCGTCCTTCCTTTCTCCTGATGTTTAAGCAAAGAATTTTTATAATCTGAAAAAGTAAGAGTGACCTATTCTGTCTCTCTGACGTTCTTTGTCCCTCCTTGTTTGACTTCTGGTTAAAAAAAAAATCCTTTTAGATATTTTAGTATTGAATTAGTCTCCCTTGAAGCAGTATCAGAGAAAGAATAATTACCTTTGAGAATACCAGGCTCTTCTAGGACCAATGTGAATTTTTGGCTGCTTTGGATAAGATGAACCAGAGGTCAGAACATCGTTCAGGTTAGTCAGAGCATGAGAACGTAAGATTATCTGAGCTCATCTCAGAAATGAAGAAAAGGCATGTTTGCACTCCTGAAAATTGAATAGGTTTCGGTGGGGACACACTGGCTCACCACAGTTCCCGTCAGCTATTTGACTCCTTAGGCTTGTATTTAAAATTCTGTCTCCTGTTTTTAAAATTTTCCTTAATTATATCTTTTGCATGCTCTTTATCTTAATCTTGGGTTAGATCATTTTTTTTTTCTTCCCACTTAATTTTACAGCCTCCCACGAAGCTGACAAAATATAGAGAACATGTTTCAATTCTTGGAATCACTTTGTTATGTATCCAGCAACAATCCTAAGAACTTTTTCTGGAATTTTAGACTCTCAACGTTGTGGTTTTTCAATTTAATTTCAGCTGTCATTGGTGTATGGTAGTAATTTCTAAATAGCTTTCTAGCCTCCGCCCCCCCCCTCCCATTTTGTTCACATCATTTTGGGTTTCAGAATAAATACAGAATAAGAAAAACAAATAGAGAAGACATCCTGTTACAAAATAAAGAACAGGATAATTTTGGAAATGCTGTTGGTGCCTCATAAATAAATTATACCTCATTCTCTGTCCTTGGAATTAAAATTTGCAGCATGATCAATAGGCTTTGAGAAAGCTCAAGAGGTTGTTAAACATGAGGAAATTTACTCATTGCTTAACCTGCTTGATTATCAGTGATCATTGTTGCTGGACGTAAGGCTGTGGTGTAATACTGCTTTCAAGATGTCGCAGGTTATTTATACATATTATTTTCACAGAACTGGTAATTTGAAAATTTTAACACGGATAGCCTTTGCTCTTTCATTTCCACTTCAAGAAATTTATCCTACAGAGATACTTCCACAACCCTATAGAGATGTAGATTGATGTGTGTATTGGTGGGGAAAGGAGGGATGGTCACAGCAATGTTTATAAAGGAGACGCAACCTAAATGCCCACTAATAAAGTAGAAGCGGCCGTTCAAAACAAACAGGTGTTTTAATATGGAAATATATCCATGTATTTCCAGAGAGCTTTTTAAAACTACTTGTGGGAGTCCTCTGCCTCCTACCCCCACCACCAAATCCCCAAACCTGCCTGAGAATCACTGTACATCAGAGAGATGCTGGTTGCGTGAGTGTGTTGTGCATTTAAATAACGTGAAGGAAAATGAGGTTCAGAACCAGTGGGCTGGAGCTGCTGGTCCCCACAGCCTTTCTGGTGCCAAGGTCGTCTGTGTCCCAACATTGAGTTGAAGCTTCCACTGCCCGCCTCCCAAGTCCAGAATCTCTCTGCATATCAAACCACAACAAAAGCTGATTGGATCCTGATGAAGCAGCAGGAATTAAGCCAAGAGAACTAGGGGAAAATAAGAAAAAGGACAATTCCAAGAACCTCAAGGCTGCTTTTAGTGCCCTCCACAGGGTTACAAAAGGCGGGAGGCTTTGGAGGTTAAGGGGATTTAGCTGTAGCGAGGAGAGCTGCTGAAGACAAGGTGCTTCTCACGAGTTCTGTGCTCATGGACTTTGGCTGCTCTCTTGTACCTTTTGCTCCAGTCAGTAATCATAGCTAACCTGAGTTTTTATTGCTGGAAGGAAGCTGAGACATCATCCAGTCCTTGTCTGTTTTACAGTCAAGGAGACTGAGGGCACACAGCCAACTCTTTTTGCAGAGCTGGTTAGAGTCCTGGCTCCTAGTTGGTGTTCTCCTGGACTGTGTAACTGTGGTAAGTTGTTAAATGGAGATGTGGTAGGTGGAGATTTTATTTTATAGGAGAAGAAGTTGGACCATTTTCCTTCTTTCTAGAGGGTATTTACTCTTTCCGAGGACAGTGGGATGGTTATACGAAGTGAATAACAAAGGGTAGTTTGTCCTCCATCTGCACATTTACTGGGCCGCGTTGCTGGTATTCTTAGAGAGATGACTTGTAGGAAGAAGGGTATCTGGTTGGTGGGGTGTGGTGGAAAGGGTGCTAGTTGGTTAGAAAGTAAGAGAGATTGAGATTGTTGAAGTCGTTTCAGGCAGCTTCCCTGCAGTTTGACCCTCCTGGTGTGGTGAAGGCTGTGGTTACAGTTGAGCCTAAATGCTTTTCAGTGCCCCTGCTGTCCAGTGCCCAGGTGCCTAGTGTGGTGGGCAGGGGGAGGGTTTGAGTTTGTATTCAGCTATGTACAGGACTTGGAATGCAGCATGCACACAATTCTTGCATTGATTTATTCAGCAGATGTTCGCGTCCCTACTGTGTGTCACACACTGTTTTATGTGCTGGGGATGTAGCACTTGAAAAAAGCCAACAAAAATTCCTGCCGTCTTGGCCTTTACATTCTAGCAGAGGGAGACAGACGAAAATAAACAAATAAAATGGATAGAAAGCGAGGTGGCGATATGGCTGGAAAGGGGGAGAGGGAATCTGGAGTGGGAGTAGGATGTTGGCAGTTTAAAATAGGGGTGAGTCAGGGGAAGCCTCAGTAGAAGGTGACATTTGAGCAGTGACCTAAAGGAGATTGGAGCCATTGTTTCAGGTAGAGGAGTGAATGACAAGGGCCTGGTCCGTGATGCGGGAGCAGGCGTGGTGTGTGTGGGGGGTGGCGGGCTGTACAGTGAAGCCTTGTGTAAGCCGGGTGGTCATGGATGACGAGGTTGGAGAGGCAGTGGGGTGCAGACAGCCCATTGCAAGGATTTTGCCTTTTGACTGATTGAAATGGTGTCACTGAAGGGCTTTGAGCAGAGTGACATAATCTGACGTGTTTTTTGATTGAGTTTTTCCAGAGTTGATTTTCCAAATTGACTTTCCAAAGGTTGTATTAATTTACATTTCCATCAACAAAGTGTAGAGTGGCCTATTTTCTTACACTCTCACAACACAGAGGATTCTTAAACTTCTTAATTTTTATTCATTTAATAGGTTAAAACTAATATTTTATTATTTTAATTTGTATGTTTGATTTTGAAGGAGGTTGACTGTACTTTCCTTTGTGAACGGCCTTTTCATGTTCTTTGCCCATTATTTTTGTTTTGAGTATTTTGTCTTTTTCTTAATAGTTTTCTAGAGGCTTTCTCTATTTTAATGGAATGGCAATTATTTTCTCATTTTTGTTTTAACTTTATGATACTTAATTTTTTTCTTCACAAAAGTTTGAAATTTTTAGGTAGTTATATTTGTCTATCTTCCTTTTATGGCTTCTAGGTTTTAGGTCACACTTAGAAAGTCTTACTCATTCTAAGATAGTTTTATATATGTGTACATATATATATATATATATATGTTTTGTCATTTACTTCCAATGTTTAATTTTTTTTTTTTGCTGGGAAAGATTTGCCCAGAGCTAACATCTGTTGCCAATTTTCCTCTCTGTTTTTTTTTCCCTCCCCAAAGCCCTGGTACTAGTTGTATATTCTAGTTGTAAGTCCTTCTAGTTCTTCTGTGTGAGCTGCTGCCACAGCGTGGCTAAGGATGGGTGAGTGGTGTGGTTCTGCAGCCGGGAACGAAACCCAGGCACCGGAAGTAAAGGGTGCTGAACTGTAACCACTAGGCCATCAGGGCTGGCTCCAATGTTTAATATTTTTAATCTGTTTTACATAGTTGTGATTTATTTTTTTTAATGACTATTTTTTCCTAGTATTTTGGTAACTTTATTTTTTAATATTTATCTTTTCCACCTGAAATTTATTTTGGTATAAAGAGTGATGTGTAGGGATCCAGATTTGCTTTCTCCACTTGGCTAGTGGTTGTCTCAGCCCTACTTACTTTATCCCTACTGATTTGAAATGCTATCTTGATCTCATTCTGGGTTCTCATTTGGATCTGGCATCCACTTAAAATTTTGTTAAGGTAATTTAATCACCAGTTTATGGCAAGGAGAGTTGGTAAACAAATATTAATTGGCCATCTTCTATTACCTTTCTCTTCCTATCTTTAGGCAGATTACTGGCCAGAGTTGGAGTATCAGAGTAATTAAGATTGCCGGAAGTGGTGTGGAAGGGGGCTTTAACAAGCTCCACCCCACTGTGCCGGGTGTGATGAGTGGGGACAAGAGCAGCAGGACAAGTTTTTAATTGCAGGGAGTACAGCTGAGTTGGAGGAGGACACATAAAGCTGTCCGTAAGCAAGGTAGACGTGTGTATGCCAGTGTCACATGCTGGGATGATACGGTGTCAACCTACATGGAGCAGACCTTTCAAAAGTAAATTTGTTAATTGTGTGATAAACAGAAAAAATATAAAAAATATACGTGGAAAAGGGAGCAAGATTAGTGGGGGGGTGGAAGATTAGGGAGTGAGAGAATGCCACCTCATTTCGTAAATTTCTGTTGTATTTTTGTTCGTAAATCTAATTTAAATAGGCCTCTTATCTTAGTTTGACGTTTTAGTACATTAAAATGTTTGCGCATCCTGTCTGCCGCCTTATGTGAAATAGTAAACCTGTGAAATTCAAATAAGTCTGTGCAGTGGTGCCATGCTTTTATTTGCTAATGGATCATTTTAGCCACTAGGTAAATAATTAGCTTTGCTAGCTCTAAAAAGACTTGATTCGTGACTGGTTTTGACTTGTAGTGTGTGTATTAATACAAGTGTAAGCTGAGGTGACTCCGTGGCAGGATTGGGACCAGAATCTAGGTCTTGTGCTTTAGCTCAGTGGTCTTAGATTAAGCTACTTTGAGTTATAGTGTTTCATAGTGGGAACAAAAAACATGGCATAATCTTTGTACAGTGTACCTGTATGGGGAGTGTCCCCTGAGTTTGACTTAATTCCTCTGAGTTTCTCTTACAGGACTGGCTGGACAATGGCCCAGAACAAGCTATTCAACAAGATCCTCAAAGCCCTGCAGTCTGACCGGCTTGCCCGCCTGGCCAACGAAGGGGTAAGACTCCAGAAATCTGTCCACAGTGGGCAGCTCTCCCTGGTTCAGGCCTCACTGGTGGACTGACTTGTTGCCCACCCCCCACCCTCACCCTAGTTGCTAATAAGGTGGCCCTCATGTTTTATCCCTCCACGTTCAGGCTTGCAATGAGCCAGTGCTGCGCCGTGTTGCTGTGGACAAGTGTGCAAGGAGAGTGCGGCAGGCTCTGGCAAGTGTGAGCTGGGACACCAAACTGATCCAGTGGCTGCACACCACCCTGGTGGAGACCTTGAGTCTGCCCATGCTGGCAGCCTACCTGGATGCTTTGCAGACGCTGAAAGGGAAGGTAAGGCCATGATTGACGTCTGCCCTGTCCTGGGGTAGCCAGCCTCTGTTACGGGTTCAGGAAGTGGGCTTGGGCAAGGAGGGCATGACTGAAGCTAATGGGTTTGCTATTAAAAATAGGAGACATGATATCATTTCATGTTTTTGTCTGATGTAAACGTCTGCAGCTCTTCTGTCTCTAGGATGAGGTGTGGGGCCTGAAAACCTGAGTACGCTTTTAGCATATACAGCCCTGTGGCTTGTGGTTTGAGTCACCTCTGAGGTGAGGTGAGAAAAAAATGGAATTATCTCGAAGAAGATGAAGGGAGGAGTGTTGAAGAGGGGGCAAGAAGCAGACCCTTGGTGCTGAGTGCAGGGTGGGGGCTGGGGAGATGTTCTAGAGCTGGAAAGTACAATAAGGCCTCGGTCTCTCTTCATCATGGGGTGAGCCTTCAGTAGCAACACTCTGACTTTAATAATTCTTTGTAAAGTGAGTCATGACATTTTCCTGCTTTCTTACTTAGACAATATTGCACAAAGTTAAACTTTTTATTGATGATTCCAGTTTATTGTGATATCAGTTACTGCCCTGGACTGTGTTCATGTGGCGGAATACAGGTTCTGGTTGAGACTGTGGCTGACCTTATGTGGATCACTAATTAGCTGTGTAATCTTGGATTAGTGTCTCAGCTTCCTTATCTCTAAAATATGGCTAATAATACCTAAGTAGGATTTTTGTGAAAATCAGTTAATTCAGATAGAATGCTTGACACAAAATTCGGCACATAGTAAGCGCACAGTAACTATTAACAATTATATAAGTGGTACCTTCATAGGTTCTTGAAATTTTTGGAATGTTTTGCTCCAATACAAGATGGCCTCAGACAACTGGGGTTAATTCAGTTCTTGACCATTTTTTAAAAAAATAGTTTTTCTTTTTTCTCCTTTGTAGGAAGCTGGCCCATTTGGCTGCTATAATTTGCTTGGCCAACAGATTCCCCCCAGCCATATCCCCAAAATTTTCAGACTCGTTTCCTACTTGTTTTTTTTTTTTTTTAAAGATTTTTTTTATTTTTTCCTTTTTATCCCCAAAGCCCCCCGGTACATAGTTGTGTATTCTTCGTTGTGGGTTCTTCTAGTTGTGGCATGTGGGATGCTGCCTCAGCGTGGTCTGATGAGCAGTGCCATGTCCGCGCCCAGGATTCGAACCAACGAAACACTGGGCCGCCTGCAGCGGAGCGCGCAAACTTAACCACTCGGCCACGGGGCCAGTCCCTCGTTTCCTACTTGTTTTTAAGTTAAAGGACGCTGTTTGTTTGAAAGCAAAAGAAGGCTGGTTCAGTGCAGAAATAAAACAAATCTCAGGACTAGATGCATTAATGATATGCATGGTAGGAAGTTTGACATTAATTTATTCATTCAACAAATATTTATTTCGTGCCTACAATGTGCTAGGCACTGGGGTGAGAAAAACAGAAATGCTCTGTACTCTGATGGAGCTTATTTTCTAGTGGAGAAAGAGAGAAAAAATAGTCCCAGACTTCCCCCGTATTGCTTCTCTGCAGTAGAATCCCTGGACCCAGGAGGTGAATGGTGGGCAGCCATGGGCGCAGGTGGGATGAAGGGCCAAGATAAGTCTCTGGCAGAGAGTGGTGGCCTGTGACTATTTGAAGCATTTAAATGTTCTTCACAGCATACTACCTATGGTGAAGGTACAACATTGCTGGATACGCTCCAGGGAGTGCCTTGTTAGTAGTGGCCAGAGTCCCACTTCTCTGTGACGCTGCCTTACTTTGCATGGCCAGCATGACCTGGATGTAATTTCCCTCATAAGGAAGTGCAGTGCTTCCCCATTTAGGTTACTATCTTGATGTTCCCCAGTGAATGAGGTGGTGGTCAGGTTGTATGAGCATGACAGACCACTGAGGAGACTCCACAGGTGTACACAGTAGCATGCTCCCCAGCCATGCTGCTAGGTTCGTGCGGGTTAGCTGGAATGGCAGAGGACATGCTAGTGCACCAGCCAGCAAGGGCCTTAGACGGCAAGGCACTGTCCACCCTAGGCCATGCTCTCAGCAGTGTTTCCTCTACCATCAGCCTCTTATTTTCCTGTGACTCAGATTCACTTCAAATACTTTGGTTGTTTCCGAAAACTTAATGTACCTGCTGAATGAAAATGCAGGTGGATGGGATCTTGCTCTTGGCCCAGCTACTTTCACCATGGATCCATTGTAAAGGGAGCAGAGACTGTAAAGACCCTAGCCTCTTAATTGTCTGTTGAGAGTGATGCAATGCTGGGAAGATCAGGGAAGCTCGTTCTGCCTAGGTCCAAGCAGAGAAGTGGTTATTGATTAATTATTTCTAAGTATTCTATATTAACAGTGAATTTCAAGGCTTTGTCATTTCAGAGGTGTACTCTACTGCCAGGTAAAGTCTAATTTAGATCAGATCCTCTGCCTCAAGGTGTTGAAGGCTTCAGTTATAGAGTAAGTTACAAAGAAACGGCGAGTTTGGAGTGAGGATCCTTGGCAGTTTGGCCCTAGCCTTTGTTACTAGCCTTATGTCCTACTTCCTTACTTGAGTCCTCAACTTCAGGCCATCTGCGCCTAGAACAGGCCCCGTACATTCTTGCTTCTGTCTGGTGTCTCTCGTTGGAAAGCTTTACCCCATCTTCCATTGGAACTCTTGAGAGCTCATCTCACTTCACATGCTGTATCTTCAGTTCACCTCCTCGTTCTCTGTGGGATGGTATGAATCATAGCAGTGTGGGCCTTCTGTTTCTTTATGGGACTTATCAGCCCCCTTTTGTTATGTGTCTGTTTGTCTTCATTACCTCTTGTAGATTAAATTCCTTTGCGTGACTAGCATGGTGCCTTGTAACAGCAGCTGTTGCATAAACATTTGCAACACTTGTTTCCTGAATTAAACTGAGAAAGTCTCTTAATATTCCCCTACTTTCTCAGGTGGAAATCTGTTTAGTCTTGCTTTTTTAAAATTAGGAACACTGTCTGCTTGTTATTGCCTGGAGCAGCTTATCTTCTTGTACTGTCTTGGAACTTTTTTTAATATTGAGGTATAATTGACATATAGCGTTATATTAGTTTCAGGTATACAACATAATGATTTGATATTTCTCTATATTGCAAAATGATCACCACAATAAGTCTAGTTAATATCTGTCACCATACAGAGTTTCAAAATTACTTTTTTCTTGTAATGAGAATTTTTAAGATCTGCTCTCTTAGCAACTTTTAAATATGCAATACAGTATTATTAACTATAGTCACCATGCTGTATATTATATCCCCTATTACATGACTTATTTTATAACTGGAAGTTTGTATCTTTTGATCCCCTTCACCCATTTTGCCCACTCCTCAGCACCCCCTTCTGATAACCACCAATCTGTTCTCTATATCTGTGAGGCTTTTTAAAAATTTTTAGATTCCTCATATAAGTGATATTTGTCTTTCACTGTCTGATTTATTTCGCTTAGCATAATGCCCTCAAGGTTCATCCATGTTGTCACAAATGGCAAGATTTTCTTGTTTTTTTTTTGCTGGATAATATTTCATTATATACGCCACATTTTTTAAATCCATTCATCCATTGATGGACACTTAGATTGTTTTCATATCTTGGCTATTATAAATAATGGTGCAGTGAACATGGGGTACATATATCTTTTTGAGCTATTGTTTTCATTTTCTTCAAATAAGTACTCAGAAGTGGAGTTGCTGAATCATACGGTAGTTCTATTTTTAATTTTTTGAGGAACCTCTGTATTGTTTTCCATAGTGGCTACACCAATTTACATTCCCACCAACAGTGCACAAGGGTTCCCTTTTCTTTACATCCTTGCCAAGACTTGTTAACTTTTGTCTTTTTGATAATAGCCATTTTAACAGGTGTGAGGTAATATGTCATTGTGGTTTTGATTTGCATTTCCCTGATGATTAGTGATGTTGAGCATCTTTTCATTTACCTGTTGGCCATCTGTCTTTCTTCTTTGGAAAAGTGTCTGTTCAGATCTTCTGCCCATTTTTATGGATTGTTTATTTTTTCGCTATTGGGTTGTATGAGTTCTTTGTATATTTTGGATCGTTCCTCTTATCAGATATATAATTTGCAAATATTTTCACCCATTTGGTAGGTTGCCTTTTCATTTTGCTGATGGTTTTCTTTGCTGTGCAGAAGCTTTTCAGTTTGATGTCATACCACTTGTTTTTGCTTTTGTTGCCTTTGCTTTTAGTGTCAAATCCAAAAAATCACCAGCAAGACTGATGTTAAGGAGCTTACCACCTATGTTTTCTTCTAGGAGTTTCATGGTTTCAGGTCTTACGTTCAAGTCTTTAATCCATTTTGAGTTAAATTTTGTGTATGGTGTAAAATAGTCATCCAGTTTCATTCTTTTGCATGTGGCTGTCCAGTTTTCCCAAAACTGTTTTTTGAAGGGACTGTCCTTTCCCCATTGTGTATTCTTGGCTCCTCTGTTGTAGATTAATTGACCGTATATGCTATATACGCATGGGTTTATTTCTGGGCTCGCTATTCTGTTCCATTGATTTGAGTCTGTTTTTAAGCCAATACCATACTGTTTTGATTACTATAGCTTTGTAATAAAGTTTGAAATTCAGGAGCGTGATGCCTCCAGCTTTGTTCTTCTTAAGATTGCTTTGGCTGTTCAGGGTCTTCTGTGGTTTCATACAAATTTTAGGATTGTTTGTTTTATTTCTGTGAAAAATGCTGTTGGAATTTTGATAGGGATTACATTGAATCTGTAGATTGGGTAATATGGACATTTTAACAATATTAATTCTTCCAATCCATGAGAACAGAGTATCTTTCCATTCATTTGTGTCTTCAGTTTTTTCATTAATGTCTTGTAGTTTTCAGTGTACAAGTCTTTCACCTCCTTAGTTAAATTTATTCCTAGGTATTTTATTCTTTTTGATGCAATTTTGAATGGGATTGTTTTCTTAATTTCTCTTTCTGCTAGTTCATTATTAGTGAATAGAAATGCAACAGATTTTTGTATATTGATTTTGTATACTGCAGCTTTACTAAATTTGTTTATTAGTTCTAAGAGTTTTTTGGTGGAGTTCTTAGAGTTTTCTGTGTATACTACGTCATCTGCAGACAGAGGCAGTTTTACTTCTTCCTTTCTAATTTGGATGCCTTTATCTCTTCCTTCCCTAATCGCTCTGGGTAGCACTTCCAGTACCATGTTGAATAACAGTGGCGAGAGTGGGCATCCTTGTCGTGTTCCTGATCTTAGAGGAAAAGCTTTCAGCTTTTCACTGTTGAATATGATGTTAGCTGTGGACTGAACTTCTACAACCCACATCACCATAGTACTCTTTTTTCTCCAGTTTCTCAAAAACTTTGTTTTTCTGAAAACTACCTCTAACATTTAAAGGTCTTTCCTTTCCCCTAGGTCACTTTGACCTTTTGTGAGTAGCATGGAATTCACACAGATATTTCTTCTCAGTGTAAGCATCAGCATGTCTGAAACCTATATTTACACATCTGTGAGGTCACATTTTTGGTGAATAGTGAAAAACAGGATATGGTATAAATCACAGTATAGTAGGATGTAATATTTTGGGCACAATAACAGATTTCTTTAACATGCCACAGCTTGGAGGCAGTATTCTAGAACAAAATGCAGAATTTTAAAAAAGTTTATAAAATCAACTAATATTCATTGAGGCAATGTAGAAAATACAGAAATCTAAAAAGGAAAAAGTCATCCATAACTCCATAAAGATCACCATTAACATTTTGGCATATTTTCTTACGGTATTTTTTCTGAGTAGAGGTAACTTTTATATTTTCTGTTTTACCTTTAACATTTTAGCAAAATTATTTTCCTATGTTATTACAGATTCTTTTAAATATTTCAAATTAAACTTAATATCTAATTATGTAGATAATTTACTTACTTGCTCCCTTATATGTGCATTTAGGTTGTTTCTACTTTTTGATTATTATTGAGAGTGAATTTGTCTTTTGCATAACCCCCCCTCTCCTGAGAGTGTGTGTTTGTATTTGTGTTTCTGATATATTTTGTTAGGAAGGGCTCTCAGAAGTAGAATCCTTTAAGAAAGGGATAGGAATAAATTTAAGTTTCTTGATGTGTATCACCAGATTGCTTTCCAAAGGATAAAACCCACTTACCTTTAATGGTGGGAGGGAGGCATACTTTTTTAGCCATCCGGTTATTTGTGCTTTTGCTCCTGAGGAAAGTTTCAGAGGCTTAGCGTCACTGCGGCTCATAGTGGAGCGCTTCCTCCAGGCTGATTGCTGCTGGTGGGCAGGTCTTCTGCTTCACACTGGGAGCATCTTTGGTCTTCTTGCTTCTAGATCCCTAGCTTGATTGACCGGATGCTTGTGTCATCCAACACGAAGACCGGGGCGGCAGGAGCTGAGGCCTTGTCCCTCCTGCTGAAGAGGCCCTGGGACCCCGCTGTGGGGGTGCTTTCTCATAACAAACCGGTAAGTTGGGCGGCCCAGGACTTAATTATGGCGCATGAAACTTTTAGAATCCAGTCTTGGAAGCTTGGCAAGAGGATAATGAATGGCTTGTTTAACTTTTTTCATTAATAACTGGTTATGTGTAGTGCTTGACATAGTTTCATAAGCAAATCAGCATTAGTTGGGCCAAGAAAGGTATTGGGATACTTGGGATTTTGTGGAGGAACATGTCTCACTCACTGGTTCTCTGGTGGGGTCTTTCTCCTTAGAGCAAACTCCCTGGCTCTCCTCTCATTCTCATTGCCTCGTCTGGGCCCTCTAGCTCCGTGTTCCCCACCTCACGCCGCCACCGCTTCTGGCAGTCTCAGCTGTCCTGCTTAGGCAAGGTATGTGTGGGGCCAGAGGACCTCTCGTGGGTGGAGATATAGTCTTGGGGGCTGGAGCAGACAGAGTGCAGGACTGGGTCAAAATGGATGAACTTAAATGTGGAGCATCTCCCACTTCTCTTTTTGTTTGGAATTGGATGGTGCTTATCCAGAGTAGAAGGGATCTCTGGTAGGTTAAGCAGAATTGAGAGATTTGAAACTTGCCTCTGTTGGCATGGCTGCCACTTTCTTTCGTTTAGGTCATCCCTGTAGCCACCCATCTACTGAACAATGGTTGTGGCGTAGGAGTTTTGCAGTGTCTTGAGCATATGATCGGGGCAGTGAGAAGCAAAGTGCTGGAGGTGAGAATGCCCCTGTTTCAGTTCACTGTGGCGCACCCAGCATTCTGGGCTTGTTCTGTCCCCATCTGTGGCCTCCTGTCTTACTTCTTCTTTCTGTTCCCACGAAGGTTCACAGCCATTTCCCCCACAAGCCCGTTATCTTGATTGGCTGGAACACAGGAGCTTTGGTGGCCTGTCATGTAAGTGATTCTCGTCTTATGTGGTGGTTGTCCTGGGGTGGAGTAATGCTGCTACTGCTGCTGAAGGCTACCATAGGGGCCTTTTACGTTCCAGGCACTGTGCCAGGTGCCTTGCCTATGTGATTGCATTTAAACTGTAGAAGACAAACTTCGTTTTTTAACTTTATTGTGGAAAATTTTAAGCAGAAACTTAAAGTGAGAATAGACTAGTATAATAAACCCCTTGTGGGGTCAGCCTGATGGCGCAGCGGTTAAGTGCGCACATTCTACTTTAGCGGCCTGGAGTTTGCTGGTTCGGATCCCAGGTGCAGACATGGCACCGCTCATCAAGCCATGCTGTGGTAGGCGTCCCACATATAAAGTAGAAGAAGCTGGGCACGGATGTTAGCTCAGGGCCAGTTTTCCTCAGCAAAAAGAGGAGGATTGGCAGATGTTAGCTCAGGGCTAATCGTCCTCAATAAATACGTTAAAAAAAAAAACAAAAAAACCCTTGGGCCCCTCACCCAGCTTTACCAGTGATCAGCTCAAGGCCTGGCTTTTTACTTCTTACTCCTGTCTACTTTCTCTCTCCTCCAGTGATTTTAAGGAACATCCCAAATATCATTTCATTTGTGTATATTTCAGCATGTATCTCTGAAAAAAAATTCCTTTTTCTTCCCAAACATAAGTACTATTCTCCCACCTAAAAGGGCAAAACAAAACAATAATTCCAGCAGTTCCAGCAATAAAAGCAGACACTTTGAAGACTTCTAGCAGGCAAAAGTTTTAATAACTCTGGAATTTGATGTTGTGTTCATGTTCTTTCTCTTTCCAAGACATCAAGGATCCTTTTCTTTATTATTTTATATACAATTCTATGTATATTAGTTGCGTGAGTGTCCCTGACCTGTCCAAAGCCCCAGTTCTCAAGTGGATCAAATAAACAAAGTCTGTGCTGCTTCACGTGGTCTAGTCAAGGGTGACGTCTAAGACCACAAGAGGAAGAAGGCCATCTCTTCATACGCCCTGGTCCCAGGGATGGCAGAACTCAGCGACTGCTCTAAGAAATTTGAGCAGACTGGGAGCTATCCATTAAATTCGAAAGGGGGAGATTTTCTTTACTTAAGGGAGAAGAGCAACATTTGTGTTCTCCTGATTGCATTTCTTATTGGTGGAGGGAAAAGCGAGCAGGAGCACTCTAGTCTAGGGAATTGACAGACGTATTAAACCTCCCATCCTATGGTTCAGCCCTCTGCTGGGTTACTCTCAGGGCCCCAGTTCTCTGGGTGGTGGCTGCTTGTGGAACAGTACGTCTTGTGTTCTGTGCTCTTACTGCTGCCACTGTGACTGGTACCCATGGAGTTAGGACAGGGAAGGAGGAGATGGGACTAGCTGGTAGGTTTGGATCACCCCTGGATTCTGCGTAGGATGTAGCTGCAGTGATGTCACTTGACCTTGAGACAAATTGTTTCATTATTTCCAGGTGTCAGTGATGGAATATGTCACTGCAGTTGTCTGCCTTGGGTTTCCTTTGCTTACCGTGGATGGCCCCAGAGGGGTAAGCACGGGGTGCAGCTGATTGCTGGGTCATTGGGAGGTGCGAGTAAGGGACTGCATGCCTCAACCAAGCAGGTGCTCAGCGACTGCAGTTTCCCAGCTGACTCCTGAGCAGACTTGCCAGGTCAGTGCTCAGTGAATATGAGCCAGCCAATTGTAAAACCTGTACCTGTTTTAGGATGTGGATGATCCCCTCTTGGATATGAAGACTCCAGTCCTCTTTGTCATTGGTCAGAATTCCCTGCAGTGTCACCCTGAAGCCATGGAGGACTTCCGGGAGAAGATTCGTGCTGAGAACAGCTTGGTAGTGGTTGGGGGAGCTGATGATAATCTCAGGTGAGTGGGTTTCCTGAGAGCTGCAAGAGAGCCATGTTGCAGTGTTAGAGAGATGCCTGTAAGGGAGAGATGTAACTGTAGACTAATCTGGTTCAGTGGAAGGGGGATGGTAGAAAACATTTTTAACTAACAGATTTATAAAAAGTTTAAAAAATAGTACAAAAAAGTCCCATATAGCCTTAACCTGGATTTCCCAAATGTTGGCATCTTACGTAACCAAAGGATAATTATCAAAGTCAGGAAATTAACATTGATTCAATACTGTTGTCTAATCTACAGACTCAGATTTTGTCACTTGTCTCACTAATGTCCCTTTTCTGGTCCAGGATCCAGTGCAAGATCACAGGTTACTGTTAGTTGCTGTGTCTTCTCAGTCTCCTTTAATTTGATGCTGTTACTCAGTCTTTCTTTGTCTTTCATGACCTTGACACTTTGAAGACTTCTAGCCAGTTATTTTCTAGGCTGTCAATTTGGGTTTTTGACTTTTTTTTTTAATTTATTTTTTATTTTTTTTTTATTGAGTTATTGATAGGTTACAATCTTGTGAAATTTCAGTTTACATTAATGTTTGTCAGTCATGTTGTAGGTGCACCACTTCACCCTTTGTGCCCACCCCCCACCCCACCTTTCCCCTGGTATCCACTAAACTGTTCTTGGTCCATAGTTTTAAATTCCTCATATGAGTGGAGTCATACACAGATTATCTTTCTCTCGCTGGCTTATTTCACTTAACATAATTCTCTCAAGGTCCATCCATGTTATTGCAAATGGAATGATTTTGTTCTGTTTTGCAGCTGAGTAGTATTCCATTGTATATATGTACCACATCTTCTTTATCCATTCGTCTGTTGATGGGCACTTAGGTTGCTTCCACATCTTGGCTATTGTAAACAGTGCTGCAATAAACATTGGGGTGCACAGGACTTTTTTTTTTTTTTTTTTTTATTAATGTTATGATAGATTACAACCTTGTGAGATTTCAGTTGTACATTTTTGTTAGTCATGTTGTGGGTACACACTTCCCCCTCCGGTAACCCTCCCCCCATCCCCCCCTTTTCCCTGGTAACCCACCAATCAGATCTCCTTCTCAATATACTAATTTCCACCTATGAGTGGAGTCATATAGAGTTCGTCTTTCTCTGACTGACTTATTTCGCTTAACATAATGCCCTCGAGGTCCATCCACATTGTTGTGAATGGGCCAATTTCGTCTTTTTTTATGGCTGAGTAGTATTCCATTGTGTATATATACCACATCTTCTTTATCCAATCATCAGTTTCTGGGCATGTAGGCTGGTTCCACGTCTTGGCTATTGTAAATAATGCTGCGATGAACATAGGGGTGCAACGGACTCTTGAGATATCTGATTTCAGGTTCTTAGGATAGATACCCAGTAATGGGATGGCTGGGTCATAGGGTATTTCTATTTTTAACTTTTTGAGAAATCTCCATACTGTTTTCCATAGTGGCTGTACCAGTTTGCATTCCCACCAACAGTGTATGAGGGTTCCTCTTTCTCCACAACCTCTCCAACATTTGTCGTTCTTGGTTTTGGATGTTTTTGCCAATCTAACGGGGGTAAGGTGATATCTTAGTGTAGTTTTGATTTGCATTTCCCTGATGATTAGCGATGATGAACATCTTTTCATGTGTCTATTGGCCATATTCATATCTTCTTTTGAGAAATGTCTGTTCATGTCCTCTGCCCATTTTTTGATCGGGTTGTTTGTTTTTTTGTTGTTAAGCAGTGTGAGTTCTTTGCATATTACGGAGATTAACCCTTTGTCGGATAAGTGGCTTGTAAATATTTTTTCCCAATTAGTGAGCTGTTTTTTTGTTTCAATCCTGTTTTCCCTTGCCTTGAAGAAGCTCTTTAGTCTGATGAAGTCCCATTTGTTTATTCTTTCTATTGTTTCCCTCAACTGAGGAGTTACAGTGTCCGAAAAGATTCTTTTGAAACTGATGTCAAAGAGTGTACTGCCTATATTCTCTTCCAAAAGACTTATTGTCTCAGGCCTAATCTTTAGGTCTTTGATCCATTTTGAGTTTATTTTGGTGTGTGGTGAAAAAGAATGGTCAATTTTCAATCTTTTGCCTGTGGCTGTCCAGTTTTCCCAGCACCATTTGTTGAAGAGACTTTCTTTTCTCCATTGTAGGCCCTCTGCTCCTTTGTCGAAGATTAGCTGTCCATAGATGTGTGGTTTTATCTCTGGGCTTTCAATTCTGTTCCATTGATCTGTGGACCTGTTTTTGTACCAGTACCATGCTGTTTTGATCACTGTAGCTTTGTAGTATGTTTTGAAATCGGGGATTGTGATTCTGCCGGCTTTGTTTTTCTTGCTCAGGATTGCTTTAGCAATTCGCGGTCTTTTGTTGCCCCATATGAATTTTAGGATTGTTCAATTTCTGTGAAGAATGTTCTTGGGATTCTGATTGGGATAGCATTGAATCTGTATATTGCTTTAGGTAGTATGGACATTTTAACTATGTTTATTCTTCCAATCCATGTGCAAGGAATGTCTTTCCATCTCTTTATGTCATCGTCAATTTCTTTCAAGAAAGTCTTGTAGTTTTCATTGTATAGATCCTTCACTTCCTTGGTTAAGTTTATCCCAAGGTATTTTATTCTTTTCGTTGCGATTGTGAATGGGATTGAGTTCTTGAGTTCTTTTTCTGTTAGTTCATTGTTAGTGTATAGAAATGCTACTGATTTATGCACGTTAATTTTATACCCTGCTACTTTGCTGTAGTTGTTGATTATTTCTAATAGTTTTTCTGTGGATTCTTTGGGGTTTTCTATATATAAGATCATGTCGTCTGCAAACAACGAGAGTTTTACTTCTTCGTTACCTATTTGGATTCCTTTTATTTCTTTTTCCTGCCGAATTGCTCTGGCCACCACCTCCAGTACTATGTTGAATAGGAGTGGTGAAAGTGGGCACCCTTGTCTTGCTCCTGTCCTCAGAGGGATGGCTTTCAGTTTTTGTCCATTGAGTATGATGTTGGCTGTGGGTCTATCATATATGGCCTTTATTATGTTGAGGTACTTTCCTTCTATACCCATTTTACTGAGGGTTTTTATCATAAATGGGTGTTGGATCTTGTCGAATGCTTTCTCTGCATCTATTGAGATGATCATGTGGTTTTTGTTTTTCATTTTGTTGATGTAGTGTATCATGTTGATTGACTTGCGGATGTTGAACCATCCCTGTGTCCCTGGTATAAATCCCACTTGATCATGGTGTATAATCTTTTTGATGTATTGCTGTAATCGGTTTGCCAAAATTTTGTTGAGGATTTTTACATCTATGTTCATCAGTGATATCGGCCTGTAGTTCTCCTTCTTTGTGTTGTCCTTGTCAGGTTTGAGGATCAGAGTGATGTTGGCTTCATAGAATGTGTTAGGGAGTTCTCCATCTTTCTCAATTTTCTGGAACAGTTTGAGGAGAATAGGTATTAAGTCTTCTTTGAATGTTTGGTAGAATTCTCCAGAGAAGCCGTCTGGTCCTGGACTCTTATTTTTGGGGAAGTTTTTGATTACCGTTTCTATTTCCTTACTTGTGATTGGCCTATTCAGATTCTCCATTTCTTCCTGATTCAGTTTGGGGAGATTGTAGGAGTCTAGGAATTTGTCCCTTTCTTCCAGGTTGTTCAATTTGTTGGCATATAGTTTTTCATAGTATTCTCTTATGATCTCTTGTATTTCATTGGTATCTGTTGTGATTTCTCCTCTGTCATTCCTAATTTTATTAATTTGCGGTTTCTCTCTTCTTTTCTTGGTGAGTCTGGCTTGGGGTTTGTCAATTTTGTTAATTCTTTTGAAGAACCAACTCTTTGTTTCATTGATCCTTTCTATTGTCTTTTTTGTTTCAATATCGTTTATTTCTGCTCTTATTTTTATTATTTCCCTCCTTCTACTGACTCTGGGCTTTGTTTGTTCTTCTTTTTCTAGTTCTGTTAGGTGTCTTTTGAGGTTGCTTATGTGAGCTTTTTCTTGTTTAGTGAGGTGAGCCTGTATTGCGATGAATTTCCCTCTTAGGACTGCTTTTGCTGCATCCCAAATGATTTGGTATGTCGTGTTCTCATTTTCATTGGTCTCCAGATAAAATTTGATTTCTTCTTTAATTTCTTCAATGATCCATTGTTTGTTGAGAAGCGTGTTGTTTAGTCTCCACATTTTTGCACCTTTCTCTGCTTTTTTCTTGTAGTTGATTTCTAGTTTAATACCATTATGATCAGAAAAGATGCTTGATATTATTTCAACTCTCTTGTATTTATTGATGTTTGCTTTGGTTCCCAAAATATGGTCAATCCTTGAGAATGTTCCATGTGCACTTGAGAAGAATGTGTAACCTGCTGTTTTTGGATGAAGTGTTCTATATATATCTATTAAGTGCATCTGGTCTAATTTTTCATTTAATTCTATTATTTCCTTGTTGATTTTCTGTCTGGATGTTCTGTCCATTGGTGTTAATGGTGTGTTGAGGTCCCCTACTATTATTGTATTGTTGTTGATGTCTTCTTTTAGTTCTATTAAGAGTGGCTTTACAAATTTTGGTGCTCCTGTGTTGGGTGCGTATATATTTGTAAGTGTTATGTCTTCTTGGTGGAGAGTCCCTTTTATCATTATATACTGTCCCTCTTTATCTTTCTTTATCTGTTTTGCTTTGAAATCTACCTTGTCTGATATTAGTATAGCGACACCTGCTTTCTTTTGTTCATTATTAGCTTGGAGTATTGTTCTCCATCCCTTCACTCTGAGTCTGTGTTTGTCTTTGGGGCTGAGGTGTGTTTCCTGGAGGCAGCATATTGTTGGATCTTGTTCTTTGATCCATCCTGCCACTCTGTGTCTTTTGATTGGGGAGTTCAATCCATTTACATTTAGAGTGATTATTGAGATGTGGGGGCCTACCACTACCATTTTGTGTCTTGTTTTCCGGTTTTCTTCAATTTCCTTTGTTTCTCGTCCCATGGTTTAATCTGTTCTGATGTAGAGCTGCTACTCTCTGTTGTTGTCCTTCTACTTATCTCCTCTGCTCTTGGTTTTGTAGCCCCTTTCCTTTTTTGGATTTTTCAGGAATGAGGGTTTTCCTGAGGATTTCCTGAAGAGGAGGTTTTGTGGCAATGAACTCCCTTAATTTTTGTTTATCTGGGAAAGTTTTTATTTCTCCATCGTATTTGAAGGATATTTTCACTGGGTAGAGAATTCTCGGCTGTAGATTTTTGTCCTTCAGATTTTTGAATATATCATTCCACTCTCTTCTAGCCTGTAAAGTTTCTGCTGAGAAATCTGCTGATAGCCTGATGGGGGTTCCTTTGTAGGTTAGTTTCTTTTGCCTGGCTGTCCTTAGTATTTTCTCCTTGTCATTGACTTTTGCTAGCTTCACTACTATATGCCGTGGAGTTGGTCTTCTTGCATTGATAAAGTTTGGAGATCTATTGGCTTCTGTCACCTGAAGATCCATCTCCCTCACCAGATTTGGGAAGTTCTCAGCCATTATTTCTTTGAATAGGCTTTCTGCCCCTTTCTCCTTCTCTTCTCCCTCTGGTATACCTATAATCCTTACGTTGCATCTCCTAATTGTGTCTGATAATTCTCGGAGAGTTTCTTCATTTCTTTTTAGTCTTGCTTCTCTCTCCTCCTCTGCCTGCAGCAATTCTATATTGCCATCTTCCAAATTGCTAATTCTTTCCTCCATATTATCGGCCCTACTGTTCAGAGCATTTAGATTTTTCTTAATCTCCTCTATTGTGTTCTTCATTTCCAATATTTCTGTTTGGTTCTTCTTTATCGTATCAACCTCTTTTGTGACATAGCTCCTGAACTCGTTGAGTTGTCGGTCAGAATTCTCTCTTAACTCACTGAGAATTTTAATGATGGCTGTTTTGAAGTCATCATCATTTAGGTTATATATCTCATTTTCTTTGGGATTGTTTTCTGTGTATTTGTTACTTTCTTTCTGTTCTGGAGATTTAATGTATTTTTTCATATTGCTTGATGTTGTTGATTTGTGCCTCCGCATGGAGATAGAGTTTAGTTGCTCCTTTCACTTGTTTCAGCTGCTGCGGTGGGGGAGCAGCTGTTTATACTGCACCAACCAGGAACCCTGTCCACAGTTGCTAACTGCGCCTGGGCCCCTCCTTGTAGCCACAGTGGCCCTTTGGATTCCCTCCTCTGCCGTGGGGGCCGTCACAGGGGGGCTTCAGGCTGCGGGTGCCTACTGTTGCAGCCCACCTAGATGTGCTCTCTCCTTGGGGTCTGCAACGGTGTTATGGGCTTTTCCAGCGGCCAGGGGTGGGATCACTTATATTTGTCGCTCCGTTGCTGTCGGCACCCACAAAATCTCACTTGTCCTCTATGGGTCGCAGGAGAGCTATTGGCATCTTCTACAGTCTGTGGTTAGTTCACCTAGCTATGCTGCTTTTGCCCTGGGGTCTTCCAGCCTTGTGGCTGGCGGCTGGGTGCCTTCTACTGGTGCTGTGCAGAGGCTTTCGCTAAGGCTGCTGTGAGCCTGTAGGGTTTCCCCCTAGGCTACGAAGCTGGGTCTCTGGAACTCCTCCCAGCCCCAGTCCTCTCCGAGATCTCCGGCTATCCCTAGTCCCACGGGGCGGGCAACGGCAGCTGGGGGTTGCCCCGCCCTCTGGGATTCTCTCCGGGACTCTCCTGGAGCCGTGAATGCTGGGCGTGGCCCCTCTGCTAATGGCAGACAGAGAGTCTTGTCTGCTGCCTGGCAGAACTCCGGCGCTTCGCCTCCGGGTCGCAGAGCCGGCCTTTGAAACTTCCCCCAGCCCCAGTCCTCTCCGAGATCTCCGGCAATCCCTAGTCCCACGGGGCGGGCAACGGCAGCTGGGAGACCTCCGTACCCTCAGCGACTCTCTCTGGGACCCTCCGGGCGCCGCGAACACCAGGCGGGGTCTCCCCGCCAATGGCGGGGAGAGACTCTCCCCGCGGGCTCAGGTGTGCAACTCCAAAGTTTCCCTCTGCGGTTAGGAGTAATTGCGGGGGGTTTAGGTAGGGTTCTGGTCACCTGTTTCCACCGTCGCTCCTCTGTTGTGTGCTCGCTCCTGCCCTAGATGTGTGTAGATCCTCTGGGGGCGTCCGTTGGAAGAAAGCCGCTTGCGGGTACTAGGCTGCTCGGTCAGGGTCGGAGAGTTTTCACCTATTTCCACATCCTCCCGGAGGAAAGTCCGTCCGCCTTCCGATGTATAGTCGCGTGGGTATCTCAGATGTCCTGAGATGCTGTCTGGATATCCTTTGTCAAGCGATAAGTGTCCAAATAATTGTAGACTCGAAGGGGGAGAGACAAAGAGGACTACTCATGGCGCCATCTTGGATCTTCCCAGTAGTGTTCTCTCCAGCCCATTTTTTGATTGGGTTGTTTGATGTTTTGTGGTTGAGTTGCGAGAGTTCTTTATATATTAAGGGTATTAAGCCTTTGTCAGATATATGACTTGCAAATGTTTTTTCCCAGTTAGTGGGTTGTTTTTTTGTTTCAATCCTGTTTTCATTTGCCTTGAAGAAGCTCTTTAATCTGATGAAGTCCCATTTGTTTATTCTTTCTATTGTTTCCCTTCTCTGAGAAGGCATGGTGTCCGAAAAGATCCTTTTAATACTGATGTCAAAGAGTGTACTGCCTACGTTTTCTTCCAGAAGCCTTATGGTTTCAGGTCTCACCTTTAGGGGGTTTTTGACATTTTTTTGTGATTAGATTGAGAATATCCATTTTTGGCAGGAATGCCACAGAGGTGATGTGCCTTTAGTGCATCTGCTCGGAATGTGTGATGTTGCTGTGTCTTATCACTGGTCATGTTCACCTTGATCACATGGTTAAGGGAGCATCTGCCAGGTTTCTCGACTGTAAATTTACTATTTTTCCCCTTGTAATTAGTAGTTATCTTATGGGGAGAAGATACTTTGAGACTCTGTAAATATAGTCTTTGTCATCATGCTTTTCCTGGGGTAGGCCTCTCTGTATATTTTGTTTCTTACTGAGGATGAATATGAACATAGATTTTATTTGTATTAAGCATCCTCTTATATATTTTGGAGTGTAAACAGTAACAGTTTGGAAGGGGTTTTAAGAAGACACTTTAGTCTTTGAGATGGCTGTTCTTCCCTTACAAGTCTGGCTGCCTGTAGGGCCTTTAGTTATCTTGTCAGGAAATGTACTGAAAAAGAGGTTGTGTCATTTATTGAGCCTCCTTTTTTTTGAGGAAGATTGGCCCTGAGCTAACATCTGTGTCCATCTTCCTCGATTTTATATGTGGGACGCTGCCTCAACGGGGCTTGATAAGCAGTGCATGTGTCCACGCCCGAGATCCAAACCGGCGAACCCTGGGCTGCCGAAGCAGAATGCAAGAACTTAATCCCTGGGCCTCCTTCTTTTATGTGCTCAGTCTTAGAGATTAATTTCATTTGTGTGCTGTAACTAGAGAGCTTAGAGCAAGTACCTGCTCCCACCTGTCTTGTCGGTTTCCTACCCAGAGATGTTTTGGAGAAGTCTTCCTGGCGTTTGTCTTTCTCTAGCTGCTTAGGAACCTAGTATCTAATCCTTGGATGCTCAGGGCAATGTTTTCTTGTAAATACATGACTTTTCTTGGTAATTCAGACAGGAGAATCGATTGTATGTGTTGCGTTGCTGTGAGGGAGTGGGAGAGGTAGGAATACCCTTAGTGAGAGTTGGACTGTGACGCTGCTTTGGACACACATTTGCGTGGGGCCAAGAGCACTGGACTGAGAATTGGGAGACCTCAATTTAACCTTGGCTCCTTTTGCTAAGAAGCTTGAGTAAATTGCTTAACTTCTGGGACTCACTGTCCTCATCTGTAAAATAAAGGTGTTACACAAGGTCAGAAGCCAAAAACCAGTAAATTGGGGTCTCAGAATTTGGAGGCTCACAATGTCACTTGGTGCCCTGTTTCTCTCTGCTGAGACCCCACTTGGAAGCCAGGGCTTTTAAGGCGAACTTTCAGAGGGCCATGTAGCTGGCTGTGGTCATTTTCTCTTATCCCTTTAGAACTAACCTGTGACCACCCTTCCTCTCCTCCTACTCATCTCATTTCAAAGCGCGCAGTCATCTCAGGGTTTGGGCCTGTGCTGGAGGACATCTAGATGAAGTCTTAGCAATTGGGTAGAGTTTATCTCTGAAGCCGGGGGTATAGGACTTCTGGAGTATACAGTCCCAGGCACTTTCCATGTGTTCTTTGGTTCTTTACATATGTTATTTTGTGTAATCCCCACAAATCCACGAATGAGGTGTCATGATTCTCCATTTTGCAGATGTGGAAACTGAGGTTCAGATAGGTTGTGATACATGCCTAAGGGCTAATGTAGTCTTCCTTCCTGTGCACTAGAAAATAATCAACACAGAAAAGAAATCCATTCTTATTTCCATATGATGCCATGGAATGTTTAGAAAGTAAACATTTCCTCCTTTTTTTCTCTTAGAATAAGCAAAGCAAAGAAGAAATCAGAAGGATTGACTCAGAGCATGGTGGATAGATGTATTCAGGTACACAGTTGCTTTATGTGTTTTTCTTGGCTAGGCCTACCTTTCCATAACCTTTTAGGCTCGGTCTTGTTGGCAGCAGCCTCTTTGACTCTGAAGGGTGAGGGAGTATCCACTGGGACCATTGGTAGGCCTAAATCATAAGCAAAGAGAAGGGGAAAAGAGAGAGGGAGAAAAAGGGAAAAGGAAAGGAATGAACTAAGACGTGAGTAAAGCATCAGAGGAGAAAGGGTTTATTGGAGGAGTCGTGGGGTGCGACTGCCCTAGGGCGCCACCTCACAGAGGCTTCTGGACTCAGGCTCCTGCTGGTCTTTGGCTCAGGCTGGAGTTTGTGCCAGGCTTTGTGTGCGGGGGAGGGACCGGCACATCTGATGCCAAAGCAGAGATGAATCGATTTTAGTTGCACCTGTTGGGGAGGTTCCTGTTCTGCAGATGAGGACTCAAGAGGCATCGGCCCCTCTTTACATAGGATGAGATTGTGGACTTTCTGACTGGAGTGCTCACTCGTGCTGAGGGGCACGTGGGCTCCGAACCTCGGGATCAGGATGCTGAGAAGAAGAAGAAGCCCCGGGACGCAGCCCGCAGAGACCTGGCCTTTGAGGTCCCTGAGCGGGGCAGTCGACCTGCCTCGCCGGCTGCCAAGCTGCCTGCCTCACCCTCGGGCTCGGAGGTAATGCAGGCAGGGGGAGAGCTCTTTTGCTGGGGAATCAGGACTGCAGAGTTGGTTCCTCTCTTCCTGGGGATGCCTGTCTGCCTTGCCAGTGCTGTGGGCCTCTGAGTTCCTACAAGGAGAATTCCTGACCAGGGAATTCCAGAGAGGCATGATGATTGATGGTCAAATCCAAACAACAATGGCTACACCCTTGTCCCCACCCTACTCAGGATCTCTCCAGTGTGTCCAGCAGCCCAACCTCCAGTCCCAAGACCAAAGTGACTACAGTGGCCTCTTCCCAGAAGTCCAGTCAGATCGGGAGCTCTCAGCTGCTGAAGAGACACATGCAGCGGACAGAAGCTGTGCTGACCCACAAACAAGCCCAAGGTATGGGCACCTGGCCCCATGGCCTCTCTGGGGTTCTGCCTTCTGCAGTTGATGTCTTGTGGCAGTTGGAAAGTATTGGCATCTGCAGCTTTTTCCAGGGGTATGTGAGAGGCACCCTTTCCCACATTTCTGTCCAGGCAAAATTTGGTTGAAATGAATACTGAGGGCTGTTAAACATCACAAAAGGTCTGCATTGGTGGAGCTGTACAGTTCCTCTGAGTACAGCTTTGTCTTGGTGTTTTGGGAAGTTAGGCTTTGTGAGCTGACTACACGTATATTGGCCTCAAATGGTTTTCTAACTCCCAGCTGGGGAAGCTGTGTCTACAGTTCTGGGCCCTGTGCAGCCACTCGTGCAGTCAGGGAGCTCTCCACATCCTGGGGACGGAGTGATTGGCTTTATTCATGGGATTCTAGGGCAGCTTAACTGGTGTTGTGCCCTTTTTTTGTCCTGCCCTTGAAAAATTAAGATTCCCATTCTGGGACTTTGAGTGAAGTTTACCAGGGGTCTCTGTAGATAGTTTTTAGATTAGACTGGGAGATACTTTTATGGTTGAAAACAGAGTTTGGAGAATAGTGAGTGCTGTGTAAGAAGCTATAGAAAAGGGAGAGTTCAGTGGGAAGGGAGAGAAGAAGAAACAGTAGCTCTACCTCGCCCCTGCTTTGATCATTTGGGAAGCCCTGAGGTGAGGCCTCTTGGGCGTTGGTGTCTGATGATGTGTCCAGGAGTGTGTGTCATCTGAGATTCTCAGGTACCTGGGAAGAGGTAGCAGCCAGAGAGATGTCAAGTAGAGAGATGTGGAGGTGACAGGAGGCTGATTGCTCACTTCCCCTGTGTTTTAGTGGAGCCAAAGGGTCAGGACCTAAACCCAGGCCTCTTAGAGGTTGCCCTGAAGAGTGGTGCTAACAAGGAGCAGAAGTGTGAGTAGAGTGGTGAAGGCAAAAAAGAGACTAGGCCCTAGGGTCCACGTGGATGTTCTGTGACCTGGATCATCTTAAGTGGTGGCAAGTTCCCCGTGGGTGGTGACCCTTAGACTTTTGATGAAGAGAAAGCCAGCAGTCTGCTGTGCTTCTGGAGGGATAATCAGTTGAGGATCTAAGAAACTCTGGAAGGCTGATGGTTGAGCTGAGTTTGAAACGGGCCCCAGAGTGTCGTGGGGGAGAGCAGCAGGTACTGCACCCTGGCTGTGGCAGAGCCCATGGGCAGGGGCATGATAATAGCTCGTGTTTATAGAACCTTTACTGCGTGCTAGAGCCTTTTCTTGGCACTTAATTTGTTCTTGCTCATTGAATCTTGGCAGTGGCCCCATGAGGCAGGTACATTTATTATTTTCAGTTTATAGATGATTCTAAGGAGCTACTAAACGGCAGAGTCAGGTTTCAAATCCATACAGTAATTCCAGAAAAAGCCCCTGTTGACCATTTTCTAGAACACTTTCGTATCTTTTTCTTACTCCTCCTCTTTCTCCTTTCTCTGGCTGGCTATGATTCTGTAATTCTTTCTGATTCATTCCAGCACAGTTTGCTGCTTTTCTGAAACAAAATATGCTGGTGAGGAAAGCTCTTCCTCCCGGCACCTCCTCCTGTCTCTTTGGTGAGTATCACTCTTTCTCTCACCTCTCACCTCTGCTCTCTGCTTCTCTCCCGTTCTTCCTCTTATTTTTTCCCCATCACTGCCTCTCGTTTGTCTCTGTTTAGTTTCCTCCTGTTCTTTTCTGCCTTTTTCTATCTTCTGAGTCTTTTTTTTTTTTTTTTTTTACTAATTCTTTCTGCTTACTCCATAGTCGTTACTTTTTCTCCATTCTTTCTGTTTACCTCTCATGGTGTTTTTCTCTTTTTGTCTCTTATTCTGGTTCTTGGCTCTGCTTCTCCTGTGTGTGCCTATGGACCATTGCCTGTGAGCCTGAGTTTCCTTGTGTGTTTTTCTCCCCGCCTTTGACTTCCTACTTCATCTTGGCTGCTGCAAGCACACACCAACCATTTATCAGCATAAAACCTGTAACTCCTTTCCCTTTTACCCCCCTTCCTACTTTGATTTTAGTCAGTGCATTTATTCCCTAAGCAATCCTTCCAGCTGGTGATGCCCTGACCTGGTCTAGGGTAGCTCCCTGTGGCCCCATGCCAGGATTACCCCTAATCCTTGTGTGACTGCTCTCTTTCTCCCCACCCTACCCCTGATTGCCTATGCTAAGAAGAGGGACTAGGTGGGCTTCTGGGTTTAAAGAGAAGGAAGCCTGACAGATAACTTGAGTCTAAGAGGCTTGGCCATGTGTAGGATGAGTCTCATTGGTTCAGTGGAGGGGGAAACCCATGTGTCAACAGATGGCCTTTCTCTGTACTAATAAAATGACCTAGGGACTACATTGTGACATGGGCCACTGTTGCCTGTTATTTTTGGACAGGAACTATAAAGTTGTCTTGGCTGAGGTGTTCCCTTACCTAGTAGATGCTCAACGCCAGCCTTAAGTCCTGGTGATAATCCTTCTCGTTGCTTCCATTTGGCAAGCAAACCCTCAACTTTGGGCTCTTAGGGCAGGGTGGGACTCTCAGAGCCTTGTAAAAATCTCCCCTTGGAGAGGACTGGATAGCCTGCTTCTCCACTGCTTCTTTGTAGAATGTTTAGTGTCCTCCGGCTGTGTGACGTGGGGCAGGGCCTGAAACAGGACGATCATCACGTTCTTTGAGTCTGGGAAGCACTGTTTAGGCCCATGTGCTGAGTCCTCTGTCTTTTGATTGGCTTCTGCTAGGCAGGGTCGGGATGTCTTCTCCTTTCTTTTTGTTCCTACCAGCTTAAAGCCCCTTCCTTCCTATTCCAGGACCGGGTGAGGGGTGGGGGTGAAGCCATCCTCTGAGAGGGCCAAGGTGGAGCTCCAGCACAGGTGGGGCCTGAGGCACTGGCAGCCTGCTGATGTGTGACTTCTTACGTGGAATGGTTCTTCCGTGTGTTCCCACACACGGCCATGCCCCTGCTGTCACTGGCTGTCAGTGTCTGTCGGCCTCTTTCACATTGTGGAGAACCTTACCTCAGATTCATCTCTTAGTTCCCATTTCATCAGAACAAACGGAGGAAGCAGAGAAGGAGGATCTTAGGGTCCAGCTGAAGCGGCACCATCCCTCCAGTCCTCTTCCTGCCAGTAAGACCTCCAAGCGACCAAAGATCAAGGTGTCCCTTATCTCCCAAGGGGACACAGCTGGAGGGCCTTGTACTCCTTCTCAAGGAGGAGCTCCAGAAGGTGAGTTTCTCTTGGCCTGTTTAAGTAAAAACTGACCGAGCTCTCGCAGGGCAGAGCGTTGCTCTCTTTGTGATTCTTGCTGTGTGGCTCAGCCTCTGCTTCAGTGCAGGAGGTGCCTGGAGTGAAGAGAGTACGAGGTTGTACATGGAGGAGAGTGGGCAATGACCTGATGTGAACTAGGATCAGGGCGGCAGAGCCAGGATCAGAGGAAGCTGTGGGGTCATTCAAAGCATCGTATATTTTGTTCTTTTTTGGTCTCAATTAAAGATAAAATATTATAGAAAGTCTAGAAATAGAAGGAGAAAATAACCCCAACTCTCCCTACTCTATTGTAGTTATTCTTCATTTTCCACCTTCCAGTCTTTGTCCATAATATCTTGCATTTAGCCTGGGCTGTGGACCCTGAAAGGTTGGGGCCACACAGGACTGACCTGTGACCTTCGGGTTTTCTGTTCTGCAGCTGCGGGAGGGAAGCCGGTCACCATGACACTGGGGCAAGCTCCCACAGGGGCCAAGGAGCTCACAGGGCTTCTCACCACAACCAAGTGAGTCTGTTTCTTGGTCTGTTTGGCCCTGTTCTCTTCTTTCTCTTCACCTTTTCTTTGGTCTATTTAGTGCTTTGGGAAGATGATGGATTTTGGATTCTGTCAGTTTTGGTAATGTGACTTCTTTCTGAGTGGTGTCTTTTTCTTTTGGGTCAACTCACAGTTCATTTCTACTTAAAGTTTGCAAAGCACCCTGTAGCTCTTGCTTCAAGGCCTGACTTTAAAAAGGACTTGAGGCCGGATTCAGCAGGTGGGACAGAGAAACCAAAGGTTCTAGCCTTGTGTCCATTGCTGAAAGCCTTGCTGGGCCCCACTTTGGACCCTCACTGTCTTGTCAGGGTCTGCTACCCTTCGACCTTTGGCTAGTGGAGCTCCTGTCTTTGTCTCCAGGTCAAATGCTTCTGAAGGGGGAGTCTCAGCCAGCCCAGCCTCCTCGGTAGTCTCCAGCAGCACCACGCCCAGTGCCTTGCACACACTCCAGAGCCGCCTGGTGGCCACCTCTCCTGGCAGCTCCCTCCCAGGTAACTGGTAGCCCAGCCTTTCCTGCCTCCCAGCCGAGCCTTTTGGGCTGCAGCAGGAGGGTGGTCCTGGGAAGCATCCCTGGAGCCGAGTCTGGAGAATGCTCCTCTGGTCTCAGGCTTGTTAAAGAGGCTTGACGTGAAGCTGGAATTAGCTTGGAGTTGGGGGAGCTCTTGGCCTTAATTTCTACAGGGACTAAGTATCCCAGTCTGTACTATAAGGAAGAGAAGCAGCTGGTGGGAGACGTATGTATTGTGTTTCATTTTGGTGTTTTTAAGCATGTCTGATTGAGTGAAACTGTAAATGGTGCTATACTGGGCATTAGGAATACGAGACATTTTCCTGCCTGTGCTCGTCTCCTCGCTTCCCCCGCCCCGACCCTGCACTAAAAGGCTAGTCGCTGGAGTCCAGCAGGGCCAAGGCACTGCAGATGCTCTTCTCCTGCAAGACCTTCCTCTGCTTTGAGGCCACTAGACTGTGTGCAAAGTAAAGTGTATTGGGGATTCTTTTGGCTTAAAAAGTCCTCCTTCTTCCCTGAAAAGAAAGGAGGGAATTAAGATTTCTGAGAAGTGGGGTTCAGTCTCTCTTTGGTTTTCCTAAAACTGTCCGAAATGTAGGACCGGTGGTTTGGAGCAGGTTGGGATGTGCACAGCAAATCTGAGGCAGTGTGTCTGGAGTAGTACCTTTCCTTATGTGGGCATCCAGCGTGCATGCCTGGGGAGCCCTTCCTTGCGTCTTTTTTTTTTGCTGAAGAAGATCTGCCCTGAGCTAACATCTCTGCCAGTCTTCCTCTATTTTGTATGTGGGTTGCTGCCAGGGCATGGCTGATAAGTGGTGTAGGTCTGCGCCTGAGATCTGAACCCGGGAACCCAGGCCACCGAAGCAGAGCGTGCTGAACTTAACCACTATGCCAGGGGGCTGGCCCCCTGGCATCTTTCTGAGAGCGCTGGGAATGTCTGAGGAAAAGAGCATTGGTGTCTTGGTTGTTGAGGGTGGCTGGGCGTGGCCGTTCTTGGGATAAGGGACTGAACCTGTGCTGATGTCTCTTATATCCTCTCCTAGGGCCCACGTCAGCCAGCAGTCTTCTCCAAGGTCTCAGCTTCAGCTTGCAGGATATCAGCAGCAAGACCTCTGGCCTCCCAGCAAATTCCTCCCCAGGGCCAGCCCCACAGGTACACATCTGCCTTCCACTGGACTGGGCAGGTGTGGGGAGGAGGCCTCCTCAGCTTAGTTGGTTTTGGCAGGGAGACTGGGTCTGGAGTCTGGGTCAAGGACAAGCTTTCTGACTTCACAGCTGGAAGCTCCCAAAGGTTAAGGCTCCATCACTTACTGTGTGACCTTGAGCAAGTTTCTTGACCTCTCTGTATCTGTTTCCATCTGTGTAAAATGAGAATAATAATAGTACTACCCTTGCGGAGTTGTTTTGAGGATTAAATAAGATAATATATGGAAAATGCCTAGAAGAGTACCTTGCATGTAGTAGGCACTTGATACATGGTAGCCCTCAATATATGCTATGGGCCCTCCACACTCGAATGTTGCTGTTGGACAACAGCTTCTGATCAACTGGGCTTGTGTGTCCCACAGGCCACCAGTGTGAAGTTGCCCACCCCCATGCAGAGCCTGGGTGCCATCACCACGGGCACCAGCACCATTGTCCGTACCATTCCTGTGGCCACCACTCTCTCCTCCTTGGGTGCCACTCCTGGTGGGAAGCCCACAGCCATCCACCAGCTGCTGACCAATGGGGGCCTCGCTAAGTTGGCAAGCAGCCTCCCTGGCCTGGCTCAGATCTCTAACCAAGCATCAGGTGAGTCTCTCATGAGAACCGTGGGGACTCCCAGGTAGGGGATCTTCCCCCAGGACTTTCCCATCTCACATGGGCGGGGTATGATGTTGAACCCAACCCCAAGGGGTCCTGGCATTGACCCTCAGGGATTCAGCCATGTGGGTCTGTCCCCCAGAAAGGTTGAGAGAATACAGGCTGTTTCCTGCTGTTTTTCAGACTGACCAGTAGGGCACAGGTGACCCAGCTAGGGAGGAGGCCTAGGCGGGAGGCTGAGGGGCATGTGTTATGTGGGGAAGAAACTCTCCAGGAAAAGAAGGTGGAGGCTGTGGGCAAAAAACCTACTTTCCTCTCTCACTCAGGCTTGAAGGTCCCCACCACCATTACTTTGACACTACGTGGTCAACCGAGCCGAATCACCACGCTGAGCCCCATGGGCTCAGGAGCCGCGCCGTCAGAGGAGCCCACCTCCCAGGCACTGCCCTCCAGCTCACAGGTGAGTCTGCCTGGGAAAACTGAGGACACAGGCTCCATATTGGAAGTTGGGGGCTGGCTGACTGGCTGCTTGGAGGAGCTGCCAGTGCACTGGACTTGTAGGCAGACCACATTCAAATCCAGACTCGGGGGTTTGTAGCTTTGTAACTTTGAGCAAGTTAGGGACCTCTGTGAGTCTCTTTTTCTCTAACGCTCCCTGGATTGTTGTGAGTATTAGATATGTAAGTATGTTCAAGTGTGTAGCTGTGCCTAGTGCCTAATCTTTTTGTTTACTTTCCCTCTCCATTCCTCTTCTCCTCTCATTCTTGGTTTCTTCAGTCAGAAGTTGTGATGGAAGCTAGTTAGCTAATACTCTTCTTTGACCAATGGTTTTCCAGCATTGTGCCATTCCAGATCTTGGCATTCGTTGCCATCTTTTTTAGGGCACAACTAGGTTTTTGTAGCTCTTACCCAGGAAGTCACCATCAATTCCTCCTAGCTGATCTAGTTTCTGTTATGGCCTTTTTTAAGATTTTATTTTTTTTTTTCCTTTTTCTCCCCAAAGCCCCCCAGTGCATAGTTGTCTGTTCTTCATTGTGGGTTCCTTCTAGTTGTGGCATGTGGGACGCTGCCTCAGCGTGGTTCGATGAGCAGTGCCATGTCCGCGCCCAGGATTCGAACCAACGAAACACTGGGCCGCCTGCAGTGGAGCGCGCGAACTTAACCACTCAGCCAGGGGGCCAGCCCCATGTGTTCTGGCCTTTTTAAGTAAAGTGTTTCTAATCTTAAAGAGGTGACTGGAGAGCCACCCAAAGATCAGAGGTTAAAGAAAAAAGTAGTTGGAGTTCAGTATTTAGGGTGCTTTCCTTCAGTATCTTCTGTTTCAGCCAAGGCCTTCCTGTGCAGGGCACGGTGCTATGCAGGCTGCCGTGACTGAAGGCCTGGTCCTGTTCCCCTCATTCCCACCACACCAACCCTGTCTGGGAACTGGGTGGCTGGGTACTGTTGGCAGGTGACAGTTCCCAACTGTTCCAGAAGCTCTTCTGCCTCTTCCCTTTCAGGGGACATTGCTGCACAGAGATTGTTACCTGGTGTTCATAGGGATCATAGCTACCGCGCCCCCCCACCCCCAGCCTTTTTGCAGAGAGGTTCTTACTTATTTTATTCCTTGTTTTTTCAATTACAAAAGTGATTACCCTTATTTTAAGATTGGCACCTGAGCTAACAACTGTTGCCAATCTTTTTTTTTTTCCTTCTTCTCTCCAAAGCCCCCCAGTACATAGTTGTATATTCTAGTTGTGAGTGCCTCTGGTTGTTCTGTGTGGGGCGCCGCCTCAGCATGGCTTGATGAGTGGTGCCATGTCCACGCCCAGGATCTGAACCGGCGAAACCCTGCTGCACTGAAGCGGAGCTCACCAACTTAACCACTCGCTCACGGGACAAGCCCCTGATTACACTCATTTTAAAGAATTCAAACATTACAGAAATAATATAATTTGGAAAGTGAAAATTTCCTATGATACACTCTCGGAGATGATATCTACAGTTAGTAGCTTGATACACATTCTTCTAGATTTTTCTTTCTACACAAAGTACTTTATTTTATTTTATTTTTTTGACAAAACTGGGATCACAGAACATGGACTGTTTTGTAACTAGCCGTTGTTTACAAAACATGTGACATGTTTTGTTGTTGGTTACACAGAGACCTATTTGTTGTCAATGGCCTAGTATTTCACTGGGCAGGTGTACAAAAGCATGCTTTACCACCTCCCGTTAGATAGAGAGTGAATTATGTTTTGTTTTCTGATAGCGTAAATAGTGGTGTAGGGAACACCCTTGTTCATGGTATATGTCTGCAGGCTAGAGGCCAGTAAGTGGGGGGGGTGTGCCTCTAAGGTCAGGCTGGCTGCTGACTAATTGCCCTTCAAAAGGTTCTGCTGGTTTACAATTCAAGCCACAGTGATGAGAATGCAACTGTGGAGATCAGTATTTTTAATTATCTTGATTTGATGGGTGAAAAATGAAACTGTTTTAATGTGCATTTTCCTACTACTTATGAGGTTGTATGTCTTCTTGTATGAATTGCTTGTCATTCTGCATCTATTTATTTGGTTTAATAGCAGTTTTATATATTCAGATGTTAATCCTTTATCTATTATACAAGTTGCATATACTTTATTCCAGTCAATGGCTTATCTTTTTTTCTTTCTTTCTATTTAAGTATTAAGTGCTTGTCTTTTAACTTTTGTTTCAGGATCTTTTATGATACAGACATTAAAAATTTTTATATAGTAAAATCTTCAAGTTTTTCCCTTTATGGCTCCAAGGTTTTGTGTCTTAAGAAAGCTCTTCCCATTGCAATAATATAATCTTTTTATGCTTTCTTTTCATGTATATATATATATTTTTTTTCCTTCATCTTCCCAAAGCCCCCCAGTACGTAGTCACATATTCTAGTTGTAGATCCTTCTAGTTGTGGCATGTGGGACACCACCTCAGCATGGCTTGATGAGCAGTGCCATGTCCGCACCCAGGATCCGAACTGGCAAAACCCTGGGCTGCTGAAGTGGAGCGTGCAAACTTAACCACTCGGCCATGGGGCTGGCCCCTATGTATTTTTTAAATTGTAGTAAAATTTACGTATGTGCAGCTTACCATTTTACTCTTTTTAGGCTTACATTTCAGTGGCATTAAGTACGTTAACGTTGTTGTGCAACCATCACCGTCATCCATCTGTAGAGCTTTCCCATCATCCTGTACTGAAACTGTTTTTGTGCTTTCTTAAAATGCTCCTGTTTTTACCTTTAGTTTTTCAATCCACTTGGAATTTATTTTTATATGCTAAGTGAGATAAGGATCCAATTTTATTGATGAGTCCATTCATTCTTCCTTCCTTCCTTCATCTAGAATCTGCTGCTCTCACATTCTAGATTACTGTACACATGTGGGCCTATTCTGTACCCTTGACCTGTCTGTTCCTACATGAGCTTTATATTATTGTTTGATAATGCGGGTCCTTAAGTTAAGGAAGTACCGATCGTGTTTCTAGTTTGCTAGGATTATCTTCATTCTTTTCTTTTTCTCTTGATAAGTAATGGGTTTTGAATTTTGTTCATTGCCCTTTTGGAATCAAATGAGATGAGTGAGCATAAACATTTTCTTTTAATCAGTTAAAATGAGGAATTATTTTAATAGATTTCCTAATATAAAACTGTCTAAATTCCAGATTGAGTAGCTTGTTCAGTATGTCCTATTCTGGTTTTGTTGCACGTGCCCAAATTAATTTTTATCATGCATGCAAAGGCAACAAGAGAGTGAAACAAAAAAAAAAGGAAAGCAGTTAAGTGCTTTAGAGGAAAGGTGGATCTACTCCTTTTTTTTTTTCTTTTTTGCATTAGGAAGATTGGCCCTGAACTAACATCTGTTGCCAATCCTTCTCTTCTTGCTTGAGGAAGATTGTCCTTGAGCTAACATCTGTGCCAATCTTCCTCTGTTTTGTATGTGGGATGCTGCCACAGCGTGGCTTGATGAGTGGTTTATGTCTGTGCCTGGGATCCAAACTCACGAATGAACCTGGGCTGCCAAAGCGGAGCGTGCCAGACTTAATCACTGCGCCACTGGGCCAGTCCCAGGAAAAGCCGATCTACTCTTGATTTGCTTTTATTTTACTTAGGATTTTGGCCTCTGTGCTGATTAGTGAGACTGGCCTATAGTTTGCTTTAATCTGGCCCTGCTTTTGTGTGTGTGTGCTTTCCTTGTCCAGTTGTATCAAAGGGGTAATTCTATCTTATAGAAAGAGATGGGAAGCATTTTAATTTTTTTCTCATATTTTAAAACATTTATATATCACAGAAATTATCGGTTGCTTGACGGTTTGATGGAAATGACCTATAAAGCTGTGTGGGCCTATTTTCGAGGAGTCTTAACCTCTGCTGATGCCACGGTGATGCTCGAGTAGAGCACAGATCCCCACCGTGTGATCCCTTCCTCCTCTCTGAGGTGATCCTCTTCGGCCTTCTGTGGCCTGGAGGAGGGAGGTAGTGTTGAGAAGAGAGTAGAGGCCGTTGAGAACCCTTTTCCATGGCTAAATTGAAGTACAGCCTGAAGATCAAGATCTGGCTTCTACCTGATGGTATCAACTCAAGAGCTTAGTTTTTGTCTCAGTAAAATGAGTGTGTAGCTATTAGGAGGGTTCTAGTGGTGATTCTTTTCTTACAGACAAAGGAGGTATTGTTAGATTAAGACTTGCTGACTTGAAAGCTTCTAACAGTTACCTCAGGGTTCAGACTGCCAGGGAGCATGCTATCAGGGAAAGCACAGGGCCAGGGGTCAGGCCCCCTGTCTTCAGCCAGCTGTGTGGACCTGAGAAAATGACCTAGGCTCTCTGAGCTTTTGTTTTCCCATCTAGTCTAGTGAAGAGGTTGGTCTAATCAGTGATTATTTTGGTGGTGGGATTAGTAGGGGCTGTCTCAGAATCTCCTCAGGCTTTGAGAAGATGAATTTTTAAAAAAGTTTTTATTGTGGTCCTAATAGTTTATAACATGAAATTTCAGTTGTACAGCATTGTCAGTCACCGTATGTGTGTGCTCCTTTACCCCTTATGTCCACTTTCCAACCCTCTTCCCCTCTGGTAACCACTAATCTGTTCTCTTTGTCCTTGTGTTAGTTTATCTTCCACATAGGAGTGAGATCCTACGGTATTTGTCTTTCTGTGGCTGCCTTATTTCACTTAACGTCATACCTTCAAGGTCCATCCATGTTGTTGTGAATGGGACGATTTTGTGTTTTTAATGGCTGTGTAGTATTCCATTGTGTATAAATGTGTATACCATAGCTTCTTTATCCATTCATCAGTTGATGGGCACTTGGGTTGTTCCCACTTCTTGGCTGTTGTGAATAGTGCTGCAGTGAAAATAGGGGTGCATAAGTTTCTTTGAATTGTTGATTTCACGTTCTTTGGATAAATACCCAGTAGTGGGTTAGCTGGGTCATATGGTATTTCTGTCTTTAATTGTTTGAGGACTCTCCATACTGTTTTCTATGGTGGCTGCACCAGTTTGCATTCCCACCAGTAGTATATGAGGGTTCCCTTGAGAAGATGAATTTTTAAAGGTTGAGAAACAAACCACCCATTTATGGTATTTATGAGACAATTGGAAATTTGAACACTCACTGGATAATTGTTGATATTAAGGGATTGTTAACCTTTTTATATGTGATAATGTTGTTTCAGTTTGAAAAAATAATCCTTTTTTATTTTGGGATTACATACTGCAATATTTATGAATAGAATGAATTTGAAAAGAAAGAAGATGTAAACACCAGCTAGGCTCCTAAGGTCTATGCAAGCACTTAATTATCTGTTTTGTTTCTGGCACTGATGAATATTTACTGTGTTTCCTTTATGGACCTGGACTATTATGTACTCCTTACAGCTGAGAAGCTGCGGGAGGAAGGGGAGGGACAGAGACCATGTTGTCTCTGACGCCCTCCCTCAGAGTCTTGAGAATGCACTCCTTTCCTGTGGTCACAAGGTCTTCTCCTCTCTGTCCATACTGTGGACACCTCTGGCCACACCATGACCTTGTCAGGCTGGCAGGCAGCCCCTCTAGCTGTCCACCCAGCAAGGGGCATTGCGGCAACCCTTGCGCAGCCCCTGGGAGCGGGGCTCACTCTCAGGTGTAGGCCTAATCAGGGCAGAGCAATCATCTGTGCACAGCCCTGCCTTTGGGCAGGTGAGCAAATGGGAGGCGGATCCGTTCCAGTTCTGATTGTCAGACCCTTCATTCCCCCTCTCCTGTGCCCTCCATCTTCCTGCCTTTACTGCATTCTCAGAGACGTCTTAGGTGTTTTCCAAAAGTGAAATCTAGACAAGTGGGGAAAACCTTGGTGAAAAAAGGCCAACTCTCTCTACCTTGCTTCCTTCTTCCTAAGCTGCAGGGCTCAACAGTTTATGGCATCCTCCACAACACACAAAAATTGACAATACCTAAAAAAATGATATTGTCAGAGCAATCAAGGAAAACTTCCCTTCAACTCTGTCACCCTTAACAATTCACCTGTGTCCTTTTCCCTACGTTATTTTCCTGTCCTTAGGCTAACCTTTGTAGTTGAACACATAGTATACTCTAGGTGCTTTATGTAGATTGTCAACAACCCTGGGGAGTAGATGCTGTCATCTGTATCTTACAGATGAGAAAAAGGAGGCTCAGAGAGCATAAGTCACTTGTCAGTTTCCCTAAAAAGTGGTAGAGGTGAGTCTGACTCCAGAGTCTGTATTCTGTTAACCACTTGGTTGCTAGAACGTGTCCTTGTGCATCCAGCTTTTTCCCTATCAAGAGTTACTTCTTTGGAATAAATTCTCAGGAGTAGGATGATTGGGTCAGAGGGTCTGGATGTGTTAACCTGGCAAAGTTTTGACTCTTGTTCACCACCTCTCCTACTACAGCGCCTGCCTCCAGCACCCTGAAGATACTGTGTGATACATCCTCCCTTACCAGGTTGGTGATGGCTGCTGCACGGTGAGCCCTGGGCACATGTGCTGTCCTGCTGAGCTGTCCACTTGTCTGAAGACCTCTTTAAGACAGTCGTTTTTGCCTCCCCGCCAACTGTCTTGAGGGTTGTGCCTCTGGGTCTTGTGAAACCATTAGGCTAGGTGCTATGGTGCCAGCAAGAGGAGCATTGTCTTCCAGCATCTACAGAATCTCCAGCTCCCCAGCAGATCTGGCTGTGTGTGGATCAGAGGCATTTATTCCCCAGCAGTAGCCAAGGAGAAGTGTTGGACTGCCCACTGCATTTAATAAAGGAATTCCTTCTGGAAGTCTGTGCTCTCCCTGTGCCAAGTTGGGAGGAGACTTCCATGTGGTCTGGAGCTGTGGGAGTGAGGATTGAGAGCCCTTTGCTGAGGCCTGGGATCATCTGGGCCCACCAGCCAGTTATTCAGTGCCAGAAGGGCTTGTTTTGGACAAGGCTGTTGGCTTCACTAAGCAGCCATGGGAGAGTGCTCCCCATGCAACTCCCTCTTAGGAACCACACCAGCTGCCGACTAGCCTGCTGAGACCTGGGAACTCCTAATTTCAAACCCACCATAGGGCAAAGAGAACTGAGCTGTCATTTTTCAGTCCCTTTGGCCACTACAGATGTGGGCAGCAGCAGTTGCCAAGAGGTAGAAGCTGGCCCTTTTCTTTTTCTCATCATGCCTTGGGCAGTTACTGTATCCAGAAAGTCTGCAGGTCCAGAAAGGCTGAAGAAGAGAAACAGAACAGCAAATGAAGTGGCTTTGAAGGACGTGCCAGTAAGTCCTGTGGTGAAAATGATTTGGGCTTGAGGCTTTGCATCTAGTACCTAAGGCACTCTTGATACAACTGGAGGTGAAAGAAGAATTAGCCAAGTCAGAGGGAAGAAACCCGACCCCTAAAATTTCTCTCCAGGGCTTGGAAGTGGAATAGGGATAACCAGCTGAGTTAACATCTTGGCTGCCAGAAAGCTTAGGCATCAGGATGACGAAGGCTGTGTTTCATTGTTTCTGTTCCATACAACTTTTTGTCCTTTTGCACAAAAGTGGGAAGAATCTTGGCATTGACTCGACTGTAAGGGCTCTTGGTACTAACTTGAACCCTGGAGGTGCAGATCCCTGGAGAAACAATCACTGAAGATGGAGCTCTGAGCCCCTCCTTAACTCCTCCTCATAATACCTGTATGCGAAGGTGGTTTTAAGTTTGGCTGAGAACCTATCTTCCAGAGCAGGCTTCCTTCCCTTCCATGCTCTAGAATGTTTCTGGCTAAGGTGATAAATAAGGCAACCAAAATGTGACTCTGTTCAGTATCTGGAGGCAGGGAGGGTCCACAGCATGCCGTGACTGGAATTGTGGTCCCGGGTCTTGACCCATGGTGCAGCATATATCCAAACCAGGCCACCTGTGTTCAATCCAGGAGCCTCACCTGCCAGTCCGAGTGGCAGCCAGGTAGAAGTGTACAGTGTGCAGGAGTCTCAGACGAGGCAGATTGGAGTGCTGCGGGCAGGGCCAGGGGCCATGTTAGAGGATGGGAGAGGGCATTTTAAGCACTGTGCTCTCCCTCCCTGACCTCCTGCAGAGCTGGTTTCAGCAGTGAGTCACACAGAATTAGACTGCGTTCTTGCATTACCTGGTAGGTAACAGCTTTCTGAATTCAGGAGGCGGTTAGTAAGTTTGAGCATATGAAATCTGAAAGAGGCGTCCGTGGGTAGGGAGTTTGATAACTTTACAGGTAGGATGATAACACACCAACAGGAACCGAGGACAGTAAGACTGTGTGAGACTGTGTGAGCTTTTAGGAATTGAGGACAGGCAGAGGTCCTGAACCACCCATTCATGACTTAGGAGTGTAGCCTAGACAGCACTGGAGGGACTGCTCCTGAAACATGCTGGCCCAGTGTGTGCTGGGACCAAAGGAAAAACTAACACATTGTCCTGCATTTGTGTAAATCCTCATATGCTTCCCGTGAGTGACCTCCTAAGGCTTGGGTTGTACACCTTGAAGAATGCCAACACTGGAGAAGGGGCGTGGTGAGAACACTGATTCTTCCTCACCTTGGAGGGACAGGCTAAGAGGGGGGAAGTGGTTGAAGTCTCTTGAGTCATGTTCTCCAGTTCTAGACTTCTCCAACCACACTTCTTGAAATGTAAAAGGAAGCTTTCCTCTACCTATCATATAGCAGACCTGGAGTCCATAACCTCAGAAGGTAATACTACTAGCGAAAAATGTAGAAGGATCAGGAAGGCTGTCGTTAAAGTCTTTGGGTGACAGATGAGTGTTGATGCACTATGGAAGATGTCCTTGTGCTTTGAGAAGAGGTCCCTGATGGAGGAAGACTTTCTGTCTGTTCTTAACCTCACCACTAGAACAGTCTTGGGCTGGATGGTTTATAGAGCTGAGTTGCTGTGATGGCTCTGTTCTTACATTAGCAGAAACAGTGGAAAAAAATAAAAATAACTTTGGATTGCTTCAACTTCTTTTCAGTTGACTTCTCATGTTTATTCTGGTAACCACCCAATGAAGTGGCACAGAAAATAAAAGCTAAGATAATGTGGTAAAGCCAGTAATCATCTCACTGATGCCTGGTGCCATGAGGTGGGTACTGTAATTCCGTTTTTACAGGTGAGGAAACTGAGGCACAGAGAAGTCACAGCAGGAAGTGGCAGAAACAGGACTGGAGCCCATGCAGTCTGAAGCCAGTGTCTGTTCTACTCTGCACTGTGCTGGGTTCTGAGATGGGAGACCAGAAGTGGAGATTAGCCCAGGAGGTGAGGAGATGGTGGCTTGGCCTTCATCTGACCCTTTTCAGTTTACTTCCCATCAGGCCTAGAGTGGTTGCTGCTGCCGTGGTGGGGCTCTTGGCTGGGGCTGAGTTGGTAGGTAGGGTCCTCACCCTTGGTCCTGAGAGATTGAAATCCCTTTGCACATCATATACCTCCATCCCCCTCCAATAAAGCAATAAAGTCTTAACGATGAGTGAATGAATTCCAACCTCCAGATTATTTGTGTACTTTTATCCAGGAGGACCTTCCTTTCTACCCTTAAATTCCAGGTCCCTACACTTAGCTTTGAAACCCTCTTGGTGGAAGCCATAGTTCGGGTAGACTGCCTGGAGTATCTAGTACGTGTGGGGTCATCTTGTTACCATCCTTAGTAGAGACCTGATACTTTTTCCCTCCCTTTCAACTCTAGTCTCACTGACTTGGGTGAGTCAGATGAAGTAGAGATAAGGATTAGATTGTTTAAATGAGAACTATCTTAAACTTCAGGAGTATAGGGACAGGGCCATAGCAAATTATGATGCAGAAAAATCTTTGTTACTTTATCTCCCTTTCCAAAGCATATGTTTTAGTCACAGACATTGGTTGCAAGAAGCAGAAACCATTCACCACCTAAATTCGTTCTAAAAGGGAATTTTCTCTCAATAGGCATTCTCATAGACAGGGAGCCTGACAGTTTCTGCTACTTGCCTCATGACGTCAGCTGACTTGGACTTGCCAGGGACCAGTTGTCACCGGACTTTGTTGCTGTGGGCCTTTGTGGATGGCCAGTCTCTCTTTCAGTTCAAATTCTGAGCACAGTGAACCTCGTTGGCTCAGTCTCGCTCATGCGTTGGCTCCTCTCCCACCCCAGTCCAGTAATAGTGTCCAGAGGATGAAGTCATGTGAGCCAACACCTTTCTAAGAAGAGAGTAGAAAGGATAAAACAAACAAAACTGTTGGGCTATTCAGATGTGTGTGTTTGGTTTTTAACTTGCAGTTGTAGTTTAGAGAAGTCCCATGTTTTCTTTATCCAGTTTCCCCCAATGCTTACATCTGACATAACTGTAGTACAATATCGAAACCAGAAAATTAACATTGGTACAGTGTGTGTGTATAGTTCTATGTCATTTTATCCCCGTAACCATAATCAAGATACAGAACTATTCCATCGCCGCAAAGATCTCCCTCATGTTACCCCTTTCTAGTCACACCCATCTCCTTCCCCCTCACCATTCCTCACCTGTAGCAACCACTAATCTTTTCTTCATCTCTGAGTAGAATGATAAATAAATAGAATCTTATAATACATGAGCTTTGAGATTTGCCTTTTTCCCCACTCAGCTTAATTCCTTTGATGTTCATCCAAGTTGTTGTGTGTATTAGTAGTCCTTGTTTTTACTGCTGCTGAGTATGAATGTTCCATGGTGTGGGTGTACCACAGTTTCTGTAACCACCTTTTGAGGGACATCTTGATTATTTCCAGTTTGAGGCTGTTACAAATAAAGCTGCTGCGAACAATTGAAGGCAGGTTTTTGTGTGAATATTAGTTTTCATTTCTCTAGGATAAATGCCCAGGAGTGTGATTTTTGGGTCATAGGGTAAGTTTTCAGTTTTTTAAGAAACTGCCAAACTGTTTTCCGGAGAAACTACCATTTTACATTCCCACCAGTAGTGTAGGAGAGATCCACTTTCTTTGAACCCTTACCAACGCTTGATGCTGTCTGTGTTTTTTCATTTTAGCCATTCTAATAGGTGTGTGGTCATACCCCATTACAGTCTTTAAAATTTGTTCAGGTTTGTATATGGTCCGGGGTGTGGTGGTTTATCTTGATGTATGTTCTGTAGGCACTTGAAGAGTGTGTATTCTGCTGTTGGGTAGAGTGTTCTGTAAATATTGGTAAAATTCTGTTAGTTGATGGTGTTGTCGAGTTCTTATATCCTTGCTGATTTTCTGTCAAGTTGTTCTGTCAGTTGTTGAGAGAGTGGTGGTGAAATTTCCAACTATAATTATGGAATTGTCTGTCTCTCCTTTCAGTTCTATCAGTTGTGCTTCGCGTATTTTGCAGTTCTGTTATCTAGTGCATACACATTTAGGATTCCTGTGTCTTTTTGGTGGATTGAACCTTTTATCATTATGTAATGTCTCTGTGTACCTGGTAATTTTCTTTGCTCTGAAGTTTATTTTATCTGACATTCAGATGTCAGATCTGATGTCAGTCTCTGTCTTTTAATTGGTGTTTTTAGACCGTCTCCATTTAGAGTAATTATAGATATGTTAGTGTTTAAGTCAGCCACTGTAATTTTTGTTTCCTGTTTGTCCTCTGTTTTGTTCTGGTTTCTTTTTGTTGCCTTCAAGTGAGTTACTTGAACTTTTTTTTTAGAATACAATTTTGATTTAGCTGTAGTATTTTTGAGTGTATCTCCTTGTATAACTTTTTAAGTGGTTGCTCTAGATGTTGCTTTATATATACACGTAACATGTTACAGTCTGTTGGTGTCCACATTTTACCAGTTGGAGTGAACTGAAGGAGCTTAACCTCCCTTTATGTCTCTTTACCCTCCCCCACTTCTCATACAATTGGCTGTATACATTGAGAGCCGTGTTAGACAGTGTTGTAAGTTTTGCTTCAAACATAATTTAGAAAACTCAAGAGGAAAAGGGAAATCTATTGTATTTACCCATATTTTTATTCTTTCCATTGTTCTTTCTTCCTGATGTTCCAAGATTCTTACTTTTATCATTTCCTTTCTGTTTAGAGAACTTCTTTTAGCAATTCTTTTAGAGAAGGTCAGCTGGCACAAGTGTTTTTAATTTTCTTTCATCTGGCATCTTAATCTCCCCTTTATTATTGAAGGATATTTTTGCTGGATGTAAATTCTGGGTTGATTGTTCTTTTCTTTCAGTACTTGAAAAATGTTATGCCTCTTCCTTGGTTTCTGATGAGAAATTGTTGTCATTCAAATTGTTTTTTAACCCTATAGGTAAGGTGCTGTTTCTCTCTTTGTGCTTTCAATATTTTTCTTTGTCTTAGTTTTCAGACTTGACTTTGATGTGTCTTGGCATGAATTTCTTTGGACTTTTCTTGTTAGGATTCACTCCGCTTCCTGAATCTGTAAGCTTGTGCCTTTTTACCAAATTTGGGGAATTTTCAGCCATTATTTTTTCAACCCCACCCTCTGTTTCTACTCCTCCAGATCCCGATGACATGAATGTTAGATCTTTAATTATAGTCCCACAGGGCCCTGAGGCTATTCCTTTTTTTCCCCCTACTCTGTTTTCTCTGTTTAGATTGTGCAGTTTCTATTGTTCTGTCTTCAAGTTCACTAATTCTTTTCTCTATCACCTCTATTCTGCTGTTGAGCCCATCCACTGAGTTTTTCACTTAGGTGAGTATATTTTTCAATGCTGGAATTTTTTTTTTCCTTCTTCTCCTTAAAGCCCTCCAGTACATAGTTGTATATTCTAGTTGTAGGTCCTTCTGGCTCTGCTATGTGGGATGCTGCCTCTGCATGACTTGTTGAGTGGTGCCAGGTCTGCGCCCAGGATCCAAACTGGTGAAACCCTGGGCCACTGAAACGGAGCTCCTGAACTTAACCACTCAGCCATGGGGCCAGCCTAAATCTAGAATTTCTATTTTGTTTTTTTATCTCTTCTATTTCCTTGCTGAGAAATTTTTTATTTGTCTCAAGTGTGTTTGTAATTGCTCACTGAAGGATTTTTATGATGACTACGTTAAAATCCTTGTTAGACAATTCTAATACCTTTGACATTGAAACGTTGACAATCTCTTGATTGTCTTTTCTCATTCAAGCTGAGATTTTGTGGGGATTGTTGGTATGGTCGTTGAGTGGTTTTAGTTGAAATCTGGACATGTTGGGTATTATGAAACTCTTGATCTTACTTAAATCTGTTTTAGCAGGCCTTGTTTGAGACTGCTCTGGCAGGAATAAAGAGGAGCTGCTTTGTCACTGTTGGTGAGATGGGAGTCTGGGATCCCCGCTCGGCTTTCAGTGATGCTGACATGGGAGAGGGGCTCCTCTTTACTGCTGAGTGGAGGTGGAGTTTCAGCTCCGCACTAGGCCTCCACTGATGCCAACTCAGCTGGAATGGGAAAGGGTACCTTGTTTTTTTCCTCATGTTGCCTCAATTTATGCTGCAGAGGTTATGTGTCCTTGTTACCCTGGGCAGTGGTGAATGTTCTGACTCTCCACTAGACCTTTGCTGACCACCCCAGCTGGGGTCGGCGGGCGGGGAGGGCGGGGGGGCCCTTGTTACCTCCTGGTGGGGGTAGATGTCCAGGCTGACCATATGGTCTCCAGTGACACAGTAGGGATGAGGGTTGGAGGCCTCATTACCACTCATTGGAATGAAAGTTTTGGTTCCCCACTTGGCTTTCTTTGACACCAACCCCCAAATAATTGGACACTTTAAGAGACGATCACTTCATAAAAAAAGTAGCACACTGGACCATATATACCTTCTGAAGCAGAATTATTGGAAGAGTTGGACCAAGAAGTTAATATGTGATGAATATATGTAAGGAGTTAAAGTTAGAAATTATCAAGATGAAACAACCATAAGAAAACACCAAGAGAAATCAGATAGAAATATTAATTATGGAAAATATAGTATGTGGAATATGGAAAAAATAAATATAATTAAAACAAGATAATGATGGGATAAAAAGTAGAAGGAATATGACTAAAGAATGAATTAGTGAGTTGGAAATTTATAATTAGGAACTCTCCCTAGTTGTTAGTTTACAATTAGGAACTTCTCCCTGGAAGGCATCAAGAAAAGCCAAGAAATATGGAGAATAGAAATAGAAATAGTATAACACAATTAAGAATCTTGGAGAGGAAAATAAAAATAAAACCAAGGAAATAATTTTCAAAAGAATGGAGAATTTCTAGGAATTAAGAGAAAATGGAAAGGCCTCAGTTTGAAAGGGTTCGCATGAGTCCAAAAGGGAGAAATAAGGAAAACAAATGTCTGGACATATCATACAGGCATATCTCAGAGATCTTGCAGGTTTGGTTCCAGACCACTGCAGTAAAGCAAATATCACAATAAAGCAAGTCACGTGAATATTTTGGTTTCCCAGGGCATATAAAAGTTGTGTTTACACTATACTGTAGTCTGTTAAGGGTGCAATAGCATTATGCCTTTAAAAAAAACCAATGTACACACCTTAATTACAAAATACTTTATTGCTAGAAAAAATGCTAGCCATCATCTCAGTCTTCGGTGAGTCATAATCTTTTTGCTGGTGGAAGGTCTTCCCTTGATGTTAGCGGCTGCTGACTGATCAGGGCAGTGGTGCTGAGGGTTGGGGTGGCTGTAGCAGTTTCTTAAGACAACAATGAAATTACCACATCAGTTGACTCTTCCTCTCATGAACGATTTCTCTGTAGCATGTGATGCTGTTTGATAGCATTTTACCCACAGTAGAACTTTCCAGATTGGAGTCAGACCTCTCAAACCCTGCCCCTGCATTATCAACTAAGTTTATGTCATATTCTAAATCCTTTGTTGTCATTTCAACAATCTTCACAGTATCTTCACCAGGAATAGATTCCTTCTCAAGAAACCACTTTCTTTGCTCATCCATAAGGAACAGCTCCTCATCCATTAAAGTTTGACCATGAGCCTCCACTTCTAGTTTTAGTTCTTTTGTCATTTCTACCACATTTGCAGTTACTTCTTGCACTGAAATTTTGAGCAGCTCAAAGTCATCCATGAGGATTGGAATCAACTTCTTCCAAACTCCTGTTAATGTTGATATTTTGACCTCTTCCCATGAATCACAAATCTTCTTAATGGCATCTAGAATAGTGAATCCTTTCCAGAAGTTTTTCAGTTTACTTTGCCCAGATCCATCAGAGGAATCACTATCTGTGGCATCTGTAGCCTTATGAAATGTATTTCTTAAATACTAAGACTTGAAAGGTGAAATTACTCCTTGACCCATGGGCTGCAGAATGGATGTTGTGTTAACAGGCATGCAAACTACATTAATCTCATTGTACATCTCCATCAGAGCTCTTGGGTGACAGATGCATTGTCATTGAGCAGTAATATTTGAAAGGAAGCTTTTTTCTGAGCTGTAGGTCTCAACAGTGGGCTTAAAATATTCAGTAAACCATGTTGTCAACAGATGTGCTGTCATCCAGGCTTTGTTGTTGCATTTATAGACCACGGGCAGAGTAGATTTAGCATCATTCTTAAGGGTCCTAGGATTTTTGGAATGGTAAATGAGCACTGGCTTCAACTTAAAGTTACCAGCTGCATTAGCTCCTAACAAGAGAGTCCGCCTGTCCTTTGAAGCTTTGAAGGCAGGCATTGACTTCTCCTCTCTAGCTATGAAAGTCCTAGATGGCATCTTCTTCCAACATAAGGATGTTTCGTCTACATTGAAAACCTCTTGTTTAGTGTAGCCACCTTCATGAATTTTCTTAGCCAGAGCTTCTGAATAACTTGCCACAGCTTCTACGTCAGTACTTGCTGCTTCAACTTGCACTTTTATGTTATGGAGACAGCTTCCGTTAAACTTCATGAACTAAACTCTGGTACCTTCAGACTTTTCTTCTGCAGCTTCCTCACCTCTCTCAGCCTTCATAGAATTGAAGAGAGTTATGGCCTTGCTCTGGATTAGGCTCTGGCTTAAAGGAATGTTGTGGCTGGTTTGATCTTCTATCCAGACCACTAAAACTTTCTCCATATCAGCAGTAAGGCTGTGTAACTTTCTTGTCATTTATTTGTTCACTGGAGTAGCACTTTTAATTTCCTTCAAGAATTTTTCCTTTGCATTCACAACTTGGCTAACTATTTGGCACAAGAAGTCTAGCTTTTGGCGTATCTCAGCTTTTGACATGCCTCCCTCAC